CGAATTGGAGTACAAGGGCACAAGTACACTATTCTGATCAACTGGTCTGGTGTAATCCACATGCGTTTTTTTATAAATTGGATGCAAGAACACCTTAACCAACTGACCTAACTCGAAATGATTTAGGGTTAATATTTAACTTATCACAATACATTTATGGATTGGTGTCAACTTCTAAAAATTATTATAGGAATAATTCAAATGCCCCTTTCCTCATTTGTCTTCTCTTTCTCGTTTCTCTAATCCCTTATTAAAAAAAAGCTAAAATGTTATAATATAAAAAATTGATAATACATATTTATAAGGCTGTGTAGCAAATACATAATACGTGCATGTACACAACAAGGAAATGGCCATGCTAGATAAATATTTAAAGATGCACACATGCAGGTATGATCATGCCCAACAAAGAAGGGACCACAGTTGTGTGTGAAAGAAAGAAAAAATAAAAAGGTTCTCTTAAGTGAGTACTTCATTTATGAGAAGCGACTTCTTAAAAAAGCAAATTTTCCTTCACACATTCAATTCCTTCTGAATTAAATAGTCCTTGAAAATCCCACAAATTGATTGAGGGTTATGTCCAAAGCTATATATGCTTTGGCCACTTATGTAACTTTTAAGTCATTACATGAAGATATTGCACTCCTACTAGGACACATGGAGCACTAGTCAAAATATATTACTTTTGGCATAAAAGGCTCATTTTGGCTTTGATCACTATCATACGGATTCTTATTCCAAAACTTATTAGCCTTATAATCTAACCATTAATAATCCGAAGACCAAAATTGAATTTGGTGTGAAGATACTCGCTTAATCCTCTAAAACGTTGCCTGGTTTTTATACCTGTTTCATTCCTCATTATCAATAAAATACTGTCGTCTTTATGTCAAAAAAATAATAATTGTGACCGCTTTATTTGGTATCAAGATTTAAAAAAAGAAAAAAGAAAAAAGAAGAAGAAAAGATGAGGGATTAATGGGCAAGACTTGTCATGAATGTACAGATAAAATGCTCTATTGTAGAAATGAAGAAGTAAAAGGAGTCATAGTTGAGATTTATTTGGTACTTTTTGGTCTAGGTTTGAGATTGTTATCATTTGCCACAAAAGAATCTATAATAATTGGACGACGTCGCTTCATTTATAGCTAAGGAGAATTATGGAAAGAAAAAAAGGGTTGGAGAATATGATTCTTGGAAGTACTAACGATAATCGATCATAGTCTATAGCAGAAGAGATATAGAAGCACATTTTCCCTACATTTTCCCAACTTTTTTTCCCCAACATATGTTGCATCATTACATTCAAAATCCCAGCATGTTATAGTACGGTACCAAAAGAATAATTTCATGTAAAATTCGGAAAAAAAGTTGATCGATGTATCATTCAATGGTGAAAATACCTGTAGGATGTCTATATATGCCTAGAGAAGGTTAAACAGGCTAATTTGAATATTTTGCAATAAACAACAATTAACTTTTGAAGCAGGATTGATATGAGTTATCAATCCTAGGATGTGCAGAGCTTAAAGTAAAAGAACACGCAGAGAATTATTTTACGTGGTAAAACCCCACATCTGGGGAAAATCCATGGGACTCCTCAGTCCAACACAAATCCACTATAGAACGATAATTACAAGAAGTACTCACACACTTATCCTAGACATATTCTAGATAATGTTTACCGACTTCTTCGTAACTCAACTTCTGTCACGGGATGATCTTCGACACTCCTTATGTTGAACGCAATACTGGTCGCAATTGCTTCAAGCTCGCCGGAGGAAAACCGCCACCACGGTCTTGGTGCCCTCAATCGTATGAGTCACCGATCAATGCAAATGAATGCAATATGAATGATTAAAGTGTTTGATAAATCACCAAGTAAACATGGAACACTTGATGATTTATCTCAAATATATGCACAGCAGATTTCTTGGAATTTTAGATACTCAAACCAACTATCTGAAAACTCTACAAAACTAAAGAGATGCACACAAAGATTTATACAAAACTTATTCTCCACAATCCACGTGAAGGCCCACAATCACAACACAATATCTTGCCATGCATTCAATCTGATAGTCTTAGAATCCTATATGATTTCGTCATATTCTCCATTGCACTACAATCAATTGTTTATCCAATTAAACAATATATATCAAGATGTAAACACGAAACCAAATAGGATATTAATTAAAACATCCTTTCCAAGTCCAAGATAATGAAAACATAATATTTTGATCTAAATCAAAATAGAGTCCAACTAGGAAAGTAATCTCAAGAGATAAAATATAATCCTATTAAAAATAGAATTAGCATAAAAATACTTGAGTGAAAATAATTCCAACTAGGAATCCTATAATGAATGCATGATTATGTCATGATTTACCTGTTGTCAAGTTTCTCATATGGTCAGGTCATGCCTCGGAAGTATAGGGTTGAATGAGTTGTGCCAAAATGTCTAGCAACAATTCTTCACACACTAATTTTCTACCTATGCTAGAGTCTAGGAAATGACAATACAAATTTCATACTAACAAATGGTTCCCAAATTATAGAATTAGAAAAGGAAGACAAAAGAGGAAGAGAAACAATTTTTAGTGAAGTAAATTTTGTATATCATTCAATGGTAGATATATATCATCAAGTATGCATGTATTGTGTAATAGTAATGTGAGATATTATCTAATAAGTATTTAAGTTAAGGATTGGTTACATACTTTTAATCTCGGCCATTGGATTATATCTAAGAGACTACCTACACGTTTAATGAATGCAATCTAACAGCTAAGATTAGAAGTATGTAACCAATCTTTAACATAAAATACTTATTGGAGAATCTCCCTAGGGATTAATGTTGAAACTTTAGGTTTTTCTTCTGGGATTGAGTTAATGGATAATGAAAATAAAAATTATAGACATTTAACTAGATTGGTAAAAATAATTGAAGTCCCAAAATCGTCCTAAGATTTTGAAAACTAAACAATACTTGTTTGACGCATATATTTCTAATTAGTAAGGGTTGATTTGATAACCATTTCATTTCAGTTTTTAATGTTCATTTATTTTGCTAGAATTATTTATGGTAAAATACATAGGGGGGAAATGATGAAAGAAAAAAGATGGCGGGAGGGAGGATGAACAAGTGAATGACAAATGTATGAAATAAAAACTTGAAACTAAAAATAACTTAGGGCCTCTTTGATAACCATTTCAATTTTAGCTTTTAGTTTTCATTTTTCATTTTTCATTTTTTATGGTAAAGTATAGAGGAGAATAAGAGTGAGAATGGGAGTGAGGATGAGATTTAGGGTTTAGGGTTGAAATGGTTTTGTCCAAATGGAGTGAGGTACATTAATTAAAATGGTTATCAGACGGGGTTGTTTGTTTTTAGTTTTCATTTTATGTACTCTTTCATATACATTTCTTCCACATCTCTCCCATCATTCTCCATTCATTATTTCTCACATGTATTTTCCTTCTATCTCCAACACAAAAATGAAATAATTACTAAATGTGGCCGTAAAATTTTGTTTTGTTTTTTTGTTCTATTTTATGTGAACGTCCGGATATTATTAATGCGCGGTGGCACTTGAGTGTTGGCAATAATGTGGAAGATAAGTACACCAAAGATAATAATAACAATTTGGAAGTGAATAAACCCTTCCCGGTTAGCGTCCAAATGGAGTTACAATCTTATCACAAAGGATAAAGTAAGAAAGTAAATATGAAAAAAATGATGAGAAATTTCTTGAGATTCTGTAATGTGAACCCGCACGAGTCTCTTCATTGGATTCTCTGTTTGATGCCGGGCTCAGCTGCGACACCCACATCATCTGACAACATGATCTCTCACCCTTGAAAATACATTATAAAACTAATTCATATAAATTAATTTATAATCCCATACACACACACCCACTGTCCCTTCTGTGTTCCTAAGAGGCCATTATGCAAATAAATAAATAAATAAATGTTGGAAATTAAGTCCAAGCTCAGCCCAAAAGTGATATGGAAGGCATGCATTTTGTGGAGGTCTTTTACAGAAAAGACTGAAGAGGAGGACACTAATTTTCTACAACAGAATATGGTGGACCCTCAGTTTACAATTCTAGCCGTTAATATAGACTAAATAATTTTATTAGACAACAAATAGTGGCACCATATATGATTAGATATGGTGGGGTTCACTAATTGAATTTAAATAAATTAGTACTCCAAAATTAGCCTGTGTAGGAATCCAATATTCAAAGACGTACGTCATGATGCAACATTGCTGATACCAATTTGTCCCCAAATTAATTCCATTTCCAAAATTCCCATATAGCAACTAGTTATAATGGGCACATAAAAGGACTCGTAGCTCAGATGATTAAGAGTATTTACCATGTATTTGAAGTCTTAAGTTTTATTCCGGTCCTGTCTTTTCTAGTATCGCTTGTATAAAAAACTAGTTAATAGGTGCAAAATAAAAAAAATTGTATAATTTCCCACATAAACTTTCAATCTTCAATAAATTGAAAAGAGGAGTTTACACACAAAAGAAGTCTCTATGCTTCTCCTTTAAGTTGACTTAACAAACCAAAGCCTTGAGATGATTGGTTGCAAGCTAAAACCACACTCAAACCTCAAACCTCAAACCCACCCATTACATTTTGCACTCACCAAACTCCAAATGGTCAGCTTACATTTAAAAAAAAAAGCTAAAATTTAATTAGTTGGACAGCCCCAGCTAATTTAATTACTGATTAGTATAACCCTAGAAAATTGAAAACCCAACTTAGATAGTTGGCAAAGGTAAGGAAAGGAAAGGAAAGGAAAGCAAACCCAATAATTGCTTTCTTAAACAACCCAACTCAAAATAATCTCATCCCACACTGTCTTCAGATGATATGAAGAAACTTGCTAAACTAAAAGTAATATATTTGGTAAAAGATTAAGCATCTCTTAAACTGATGAAATTATTATTTTTATACTTCATCATCATGAAACTCATAGTTTTAAACTGAAATACCGCCATTTGCAAAGTAGAAGAAGAGCTCCAAGTCCGGGGGAGCAAAGAAAGCGATGGGAGATCTCCGAAACAAGCAGTTTGATATCACTCTTTGCTTCTTGGGCGCCGGTGGACATGTCACAATCTCCGGTATCCGAAATCTCTGACCTTTTGGTGTGGAGCAAGCGCTTGTAGAGACATCATCAGGACCCTCCACATCATCTGCGCCGCCTTCGATCTTTGGAGGATCATCGCAGACCACGGAGGAGGAATTCGAAGGCGAATTCGAAGGAGTAATTTCTTGCTTACCCTTTTGGTTGACGGGCTTCTTCTTGAAATTGGTTCTTCTAGCCTTTGTTGTTGTTTTTGTCTTCGCTCTTGTTCTTGCAGATGGAGCCATGGATGGATATATAAGAGTGAATGAATGAGGCAGGCTCTGGTAGGAGTTAGTTAAAGAGAAACAAAGTTGAATTGGGGAAGAGTTTGAAGCTGGCCAAGAAGGAAGAAAGAAGAAAGTAAAACTAACCTATATTGGGTGCTTTTAAAAGCAAGTAAATTTGACTGAAAAAGTGGCAAAAAGCTAAAATGATCAAACAACCCTTTGGAAGCAAAGCCTTTTCAACCAAAGCTTACAATAACTGCAAGAAACCCCACTGCTCAGGGAGACTGGAAATGAGATAATTCTATCCTCCAAAAGAAAAAAGGAAATAAACCCAGAAATACTAAGAAGACACCAACACTAAACCAGCAATAAACATGCTTTTCCCTAATTTTCCATGGCAGCCAATAGAAGAAGTAATTAGCAGAACTAGAATGATCTAATAAAAACAGTAAAACCCACAAAAACCTTGGTATGGTGGTGACCCACAAAGATGTTTGATGAAGCCCAGATGAAAAACCCTACTATTGAAGGAAAAGGAGTTGTATTTAATGGAAGCAAGAAAACATTGGAGTGAATAAGCTTGGAGAGAGAAAACCCAGTTGGTTAAGACTTGAAAAGCCCTAATTAAAACCCTAGAGAGAGAGAGAAAAAGAGAGAGAGAGATGTAATGGAGAAGATGAGAAGAGCGGGATCTAATACTTATTATGTCGCCCCGTAGGGCTTAGTTTATATTGATTGAGATAATTCGGGCAAGGCTGCCCGCTGCCCCGAAGCAATCCCCAAGAAAACAGAGGAGGCGGAGGGAGAAAATTGAGAGGGAGAGAGAGGAGCCCGCTGCCCGTAATTAAAAGAAGAGCGATTTAAAAGTGATTAATACCTTCTTTCTTCCGTTTTATAAATGAATATTTGAATTTATCAGAAAAAGACAATTATATACAAATTTAAAACCACCTAGTTTCAAACATAAGCACACAATTAGTATATAAAAAAAAATAGTACAAAATGGTGCAAATTATATAAACGAAACTCGTAAGGTCCAACTAAATAGTGTAAATAATGATATGGAAATATATCTGAGATCTCTAGTTAATAAAATAATATTTAAATTGCTCTCCTCCCGCTAAGCTATTAAAAAAAAGAAGTAAAATATCTGAGAGGTATATAAAACGAAGAAAATATATTTAATTTTGTTTGCCTCCTAGGGATTTACATAGACCAAGAATAATATGGGCAATGCAAGATAGCCAGCTGCCCGAGGAACAGTTAATAGTTAAGATTCTATTTGATTATATGCAGTACAAAATTAATAATTATTTTATTGTCATAGTTATCTAAGTTGATAGACGAGAGCAAATGAGTTGGGAAAAGATATTCAATCACTGTTTTTGTCTGCGAGCCAAAATTATTATTTTGAAATACATTCATGCATGGTTGGTGCTCCTCTCGTTTTTTTCCCCATCTTTTATGAGAATTTTGTAAAGGCAATGTCAGTGCTTCTCAGGGTATCCTAAATACAGGAATTGTATATTTGTACACGTGTCCCAGGGTACTTGGACAGAGCCATGGCATACAAGAAAATTATTTGGGATTGTTTTGGTTTGTGAATGATGAACATGGGTCAATCTAGTTTCGTGTTCATGTTACTATTTAAATATTTTAATAAGCTCTTTGGACGTTAACTTCCCATGGTTTTGTTTTGACACCATACTTCTAGTGAGGCTGTCTCGTAGGTTTGTCTATCTAAGATAAATTATATATATACATATGTTTTAAAAATTATCAATTCAAATAGTTAATGAGGTAGCACGTTATATTGTTAGATTGTCTGATTTGAGGTCAGATAAAGTGTGATTCAAATTGATAGCTTGACAATCTAGTTTGATAGTTTGGCGAGACATGCGTAGTTGTTTAGCAACAAAATATTTTGCAAGTTGAATGCTTTCACAATAAATTGAGAAGGTTGATATCATTCAGGGCATGTTTATGTATCAGTAATGGGAATGAGAGGAAAGGGAATGATTTCCATTCCTGACTTCTCCTGCGTTTACTTGCAATCAGGAATGAAAAACTAAGTGGGCCCCACCTCAAAATCCGTAATCACATTCCCTCAAAATTAGGAATCAGATCAACTAGGGGGGAGTAGTCGATACGATTCTCATTCCTGTTTTCTCTTAATAACTTCCAAAAATACCCTTATCACTTTACTATAATTCTAAAATTAATTTGGATTCTGATTCATGCAAATTAGTAAACAATAACAATGGGAATCAATCCCATTCCATTGCTAATTCTATATGTTTAGTAAACAGCTTAATGGGAATGATTCTTCCCATACCGATTCAGTAGTTCTCTGATTCCTAAATTCTCTGATTCCTTAGTTTCTCCATTACTGATACGTAAACATGTCCTCAAACCTACCATCATTGTTGGATTGGATGAGTTGGATGAGCTAATGATTTGGTAGTTGCATGACTTCATTGTACTTGTAGCTCAAATGATTAACAACATTTATCCATACCAGTGAGGCCGTGTGTCCCAATTCCCCAATACCGTTTGTGTACTTGTAATTGAAGATAGATCTAGCTACTTATGGCATGAGAGATAGAGAGAGGGGTTGACTTTGGTTATAACTAATGAGCAAGCTTGGAAAAGCTGCTAAAAATGCTATTATTTCCACAAAATGAGCATTCCAAAGTAAAATCTCATGTCAACTAATTCCACTGTCTGCTCAAAATGAAATAGATTTCAGCAGAGAGAGCCAACCTCAGCGTAATTCTGGCGGGTTGCACATGAATGCCGTACACAAACTCAAAGGAAGTGAAAGCAATAATTGGGATGGATGGAAGTCACCATAATCTTGAGGTTCTCAATGGGATTTTATAACTAGCAGCATTTTAACTTGTAGTATTTCAATACCATTTGACAACTCCAACACAAAATAACAATTTCAGCAACAACATAGACAGGAAAAAACTTCCCTTCCTTGTAAGTAGGAACTCATTCAATCCTGTCAATGGCAGTTTGAAGAGTAGAAGTTTTTCCTTTTGTGTTTTTGATGAATTATTTTTGCACAAGTGTTGAACCGAGGTTTGCAGAAAGGAGGAAGAAGTCGGGCAGTATCCTACATTATATTACTCTACTCCTACCAAAAGCCATAGTTAATACTGCAAATGTATTATAATAATTATTATCATTTAACATACACTGACAAGAAAAACAGGTTTACAAGGAAACTCTTTACTCTCAAGTTTAGTCTTCAGTCTCATACCATATGATCTAAAGATTTGTCTTCGGTTTTAAGCCACGGTACAGCAATATGATAGTTGGTTTAAACTCCAGTTCAGAAAATTCAGAAGGGAAAAGGGGCGGAGAGAGTCAGACAAGTTTGCACGAAATCTGTAAATTACTGAAGCAACACTGTACAAGAAGAAAACACACAAGTACTTGATATCATTGTCTAGAAAACCATAAGCAAACCCTTTTTCGTCTACATAAATAAGGAAGCAGAACAAAATAGGCATTCATATTCAACCCATCTATGCCTAAAACATCAATAGCCGACACATGAGAAACAGTTCTTAGCCAACCAAACTTAAATTCTGAAAGATAAAAAGAACTCGACCTTAAATGTCATTAATTTCAGGGACCTATGTATTGACCCAACATGTGTCGAGCGATATAAAGTTAAGGCAACAGAGAACCTTAATTAACGGACAAAACTAGTATGCAAAACTTCTCCCAAACCAACAACTAGAAAATCTAACTGAATGTCTGCAAGCGAAATTCCAAACAGTGAAATAAAAGATTATAACAAGTACATAATGGCAAATGATAACAAAGATCTATAAGGATCACCGTCCTCTTGAAACTGCTTCATCCAACTCCTCGTGTGATGAAGGGAACAACTCTATATATCGACTTCCAAGTGTCATCCTATCCTTAGCCATAGCTGCCTTGGAATCTTCTGCACTTGCAAACTCTACAAACCCTTCCCCAGTTGGCCTGCCTTCTGAATTCATTGTAAAATGAATTGAGCTCTCTGACAACACAAAGTCCTTAAAAAAATCCATTATGTCATCCTTGCCAGCGGAAAATGGCAATCCCCTCAACCGCAATACCCCTGTATGTTCTGCTGAGTCCTTCCCTTCATCATAAGATTTGGCCCTTGGAACATTTCTGCGAGGGGAACCACCACGAGCATCAGAAACTTCATTTGCTATTGCCTTGTAATATTCCTGCCTCTTACTTCTGAACACCTCAACATATCTCCTGCCCATATTCTGCCTATTCCTTGAAAGGGCAAAATCAACCTGAAGAGGATACCCCAAAACACAAAAGGCTTCCCCAGTGAACTTGCCATTCTTGTGGACAAAAAGAACATCAACGATGTCAAGCCCATGGAGAAACTCAGCAACATCAGCTTCTGTGCAATCAAATGGTAGACCACGAAGTTTGACAACAGGGAACGGTGGAGGTTGTCCAGCATATGCATAAGGAGTTGGATTGTACATATAACTTGAGCCAGGGGAGGTCCCATAGAATGAAGATCCCTGGTCACCTAGCCGCTGACGCTTTGCACCCATGTCACGGCCATCACCACCATCACCAAATTTACTTTAGTTCCCAGTGACACCGAAAGCAACAGAAAAGAGAAGCAAACTCATCAATACTCTTATCATAACTAATTACTCAGCTACATTAATAAGCATTCCAATTATCAGATAGAATTTCATCCAGCAGCCAATTATGATTAAAGCAAACATGAATCTTGGTGGAGTGAGAAGAAAAAGGACAATACATGTCTCCTACTAGCTCGGTAGTTTTTGCAGGAATAGCATTTCTCATCCAGTTTGCATTAAGTCACAATTTTTATATTGCAATACAAATGAGTTACAACCTGTGACCTAAAACAAAACCTAGAAGAATAATAGCTGCACTAAAATGGAATTCAAGATTAGGAATTCATGAGGTACTGTTTATAATACTCAGCAATATATATTTCTAAGCTACAATTTCCTAACAATTATATTTGCAATCAGGTTATTCAGTACGTAATGTAATGGTGCAACCATAATACACAACTATGATGATGAACACATATGTCAAAATATTTACTAAGTTCAGGTACTTGATGAGTAGAAAAAAGAGGTTTATGTACCTAAGCTATTCAATATGGAAGACAAAATAATAACCAGAACCAAGGTTGTAAGTCCCAGATAGCAATCATAAATCCAGATAAAGGCGGATTTCAATGTCCAGGTTTCTAGTCCAAAGTTCACTCTTGAAATTAGTTATTAAGTAAAATTTCGACTTGCATCAATTTGGATGTAGCATACAACTCTGGAATTGAATTAATCGAAAGACACTTTCGGTTGGTTGAATTTGTAACTAGAAAGGCTAATACAGCACCCAATAATCTTGCTAGTTCTTTTTATGTTCTTTGTGTGGATGTAGGAGAATTAAGTCCCCAGGTTGATTTTGTCTTTGTTTTCCTTTCTATATCTCTGTTCTTTAGCACCCAAAAAAAAGTGTGCCTTGTCACACACGATTTTATAAAAGTCTAGATTTAATCAACGTCATTCCTATCAAATTATCATGTGATGTGTATTGTAGCTTGTCTCATAGTATCCACAATATTATGCTCTGCCTTCACAAATTCCAGAGTCCATGAAACATCCCACATAACTACGTACTCCAGCGCAGATTAACAAGCAGCCCTTGTGCACTAACTCCTTTCCCAATGTGGAATACTTGCAATGAATCATAAAGAAACCAGCATACCCATAATGCACCAGGACAAATTGTAAATGAATGAATATCCATCTTTATTATGGCGGTATCTAACCTTAAAAAATTATAGGATACTTCTTCTCAGTGTTGCCAAGAATATAGGTTAGCAAATTATTTTTTTTCAATGAGGAACTTAAGAGGGAAGATTTGATTCATAAATAAAGGGACTAATCTTAAGTACAAATGGTTTAACAGGAAACAACACCACAAATCGAGCCCAACTCGAAGTTAGTGAGGTTTTTTTTTCGGGTCAATGAAGTTAGTGCGTTAGGATTGACCATTACTTGACATGAACTCATAATGGCATGACCATCAAACAAAAATAAACAGGTCAGGTTAGTGTCATTCACAAATAATCTTGACTAGAGAAAACTGTTTGATTAATATCATAGGAAGACAAAACTAAAACCTTCCATTTCTTAATGTATTGTATGACTCCTTGTAGACTTATATATATATATATATATTAATGGTTTTTCTAATATCTGGATGAAGTGGTTTTTTATTTTATAAGGAACGCATGAGTAGTAAGTTTGGTTAGAAATAAGAAAAACCTTGTTTTAACTTTTTAATTCATAATATATATGGACCAACCCAAACACGACACCACTAATAAACAGGTTAGGTTAGTGTCAAACCATTCCACAGTTTAACAAAAGAGTTCAGATTAGGGTTAACTAATATTGGCAATAACATAAATGAGAGGACATGAACACTATCCACTAACATGACTTGGCAATGAAATGAGAATTGACCCAACTACAACACGAGTAATGTCACGTCATCTGACATAGTTAATAAATCAAGTTGGATTAGAGTTCTTGCTAGTATTCAATATGAATTAGATTGCAATCCTAACATGAAACCCATACGACTTGAATGCTACTCTAGGCGTGATTAGGTCCAGAGTTTGAAGCATTCCCTTTGGGGTTGAGGTACTAGCTTTTAAACCTCAAGGAGCAGGGAAACACCTTGGGTGTAAACATTATGAAATAAAGAAAAACGGTTTCTTTTGTGCAAAGAACAAAATTATATGGTTATTTCTTGGGAAAATAGAACAATTACATTTTGTCCAACAAATCACTGGGACACTTGTAAGTATATTTTTATTATCCATATCAATAATACTAGGTACCCTTTACCTGGTTTTAGCTACTGGAACCCCATATAAAATAATAAAATAATTGGTAAACTTTGATTAGCAATGTTCTCTGAAGACATTAATGAGGTCAAACATTTTATTCAGGTTTCAAATAAGATTTTCGAAATTGTTTTAGTTTCTAGTTTCGAGGAACTTTTTCCTTTAACTGCTTGTCTATTTTGAAACAAGGGAATTAATCAGTTCCTATAAAATTTTAAGCATTGCCCAATTTTCCTCAGACCCATAAAGAACATAGAAAAAAAATCCCAGTCCTATCATTATTACCTAGTGAAACATATAAAACCATGACTATATAATTACGAACGAATTACTGAAAACTAGTTTATTGGTCTGAATAAGGGTTCTATAATCATAAATAACTAGCTATGCTCCCTAAATGTGTTAAACTCTCATCGTAGTTAACAATATAAAGCCAAAGAAAACAAACACAGAACATATGAATAAAGAATTAAGGAACTTAATCCTAATCATATCAATTTAAGCTGTTCAAACTTCAACTAAGGCCTACGTCAACCCCTTTTTGTTCAAATCAAATCTAATCCAAACAACCCATAAGTTTTCAACCAAAAAGAAAAAAGTCGAATTTAAATTCTGGGCATTGTCCGATTCATACCACTCGAGAATTAAGCAACAAAACAGAAAAAACAAAAACAAAAAAACAATTCATAGAGATTAATTGATAAAGCCCATCGATTGAAACGACTCGAGAAAGAGGACAACTATATATGAATGAAATAACCTAAACATGATGAAAAGAACGAGAGAAATCGCAAAGACAATTCTTTTTAATAATAATGGAAGAAGTAGAAGAAAGAAAGAGCAAGAAATTGGAGAAAAGGAAAGTGTGTTACCCTCTGTAGAACATGTTCGTAGAATTATCGTCGTCGTCGTCGTCGTCGTCTTACCCACTCGATGTTTCTGTCTCTTAGCCACTTCAGACTTTCCTTTCGAATTAGAAGAGAAACGAGAGCCCAGGCCCGAGAGAGCGTCTAATAAGAAGCAAGAAAACCAAAAAACAATAAAAAGCCTTGATGAATGAATATTTTCTTCTTTTTGGTTTTTTTTTATGAACAGAACAACAATTTCACATGACATAAAAAAAAACAGAACAAAGAGAAGTAGCATTAAATATAAATCGCTTTTTATTACTATTATTATCATTATCATTATCATCATTGTATTTATTAATTTCTTACATTTATTAACACATAAAAAATTAAAAATTATGTGAAGAACATGTTAAAATTCATAATCACTAATACATGATAAAATGAATTAGATTAATTAGAAAAGTAGTTGATCCGATGCGTATTCATTAGCTCCCCAATTATTGACTTTCCCAATTCACGACTTCTCTCATTTCAAGTAAAGTATTTTTCTTTTTTCTTTTGTTACAATCTTTATTATTATTATTAGCTGCCTTATACAAAAGCATATGTGATTAGAGGTAAGGCGCAAGTAGCATACTTAGAACATCTACAATAATGCTTCCTATTTCAGTTAAAATTTAGCTAAAAACACTCAAAAGTTATTTTAGGAGCTCTCTTTAAAATTTGAACTCCAATCATACTCCCTAGTTTAAGGATTCATAAATACTATAGTTATTTTTTATTATTTCAATATGATTGGTACATCTCTAATATATATATATATATATATATATATATATAGCATTTATTAAAAGTTTAAACTATGCATGATAAAACAAAACAACATTAAATTATAAAGAGCCACTATGAGTCCTTTCTCTTTCCTTAGATTTAGGAACTCCTTGAGACCCTCCCTACTTTAGGAGGTATGGTTGAAGTCATATTTTTCCAATTCCACTCTAAATTTATCTAATGCGGTGGTTTAATGAGCCCATTATGAATGCTCTTACACAAAAACCTACCAATCATTCTTAAGGGGGAATGTATATAATTTGTAACCGTATTGCTGACTGAGCCAAATATCAGATCAAATCAAACACATTTATCAGCTCACAGCTTTGAACCAAAATAGAGTTAAAAAAACCATTTTGGCAGCACTAGAATGGTTATTACTATTCATGAGCCACCTAAAGATCATGGGCTCTTGGCAAGAGTTCAATTTTGACAACATAAATTTTAAACTGTCAGTGCCATAGCATTTCATGCCTACACACTACTCTTTAGACTTTATGTAGCAACCTCAAGTTTAGTCAGGGAGCCCTCTACTCAACACAGGCTTAATCTGAACCGTCAAGGTTCAGCACAAGTTTACATAAGAAAAGCCTAAAAAATGTTCCTCTTAGGAGAGAGCTGTAGACCATTCCACATTGGATACTGTCAAGAGTCTCATAGCTTCCTTATGAGGAGAAACATCCTCTGATCAAGTTCAAAGTTCTTGAATTGAGAGGCTTCCCCCTTCAGCATCATCAAAAGGCCACCAAATGAAGCATTTACCTCCCTGAAACCAAAGACAAGAAAATTAGAAGAGAACAATAAAAAAGACCTTCTCAGTTAACATGACAAAGTTTTACTTAAACCCCAATAATTTGTCTTTCTGAATGAAAAGCAAACAGAGCAAATGACTGTCATATGATTGGCATCATTATCCTCCACAATATGTTGCAGAAATAACAAGGATCTGAGTCATAGTTGTAGGGGATACGATGCCTTGTAAGTGGACTTCATCAAATTCATGACAGCTTATACCAATTCAGAAGAGCAACCACTTTCATGATACCTACATTTGATATTTTCTTCGTCTTTTTTCACAAACATACAAACAAATAGCACACTTGTAGATCCCAATAAATTATTATTTTATTACTTACGCTTTGGGATCACGTTTAGAACCTTCTGAAATTTTGAAAAGCTTCCCTTGCATGACGTATTCATATTCATCGGCCAACGTCTTGCGATTGCCCTGCAAAAACGGTACCTTTATTAGTTAGGCGTACTATGGCTCAATGATTTGGTAAACAACCAAACAGAAACTGCTACAGCTAAGCTACGTCAAGAAACATGGAACACATAATCATCTTCAGAATCATCTTCTCAATGCATTGTCAATTTGTCATTATCAAAGATGGCTTTGTCATATATTGACCTATAAGCTACAATATCTGCATTTCATATATGATCCAATACAAGTAGATACTATTATAACAAAACTCAAGATGTGGCCCCAATCTGCAACTTTGAAAATACTAATGCACAATCACCCGTTGTTCCTTTCCAATCAAAAAGAACACATGGCACACAAAGAGGTAGGCGTCCGAAGTCCAAACTACATCATCCTTCTTATAACAAAATGGCATGCCACACTGAAAGGAGCTCAAACAATGTCCAAGGATATACACGAAATGCTAAATAAAGAGAATGCAAGTTCAGATAAGTTAAATCCACCTACACGAGTGTAATAGATTTTGGTCAACCAAGTCTGCCACTTGCAATGTAACAGCCCTCACCGTAAATTTTCCCCTAAAATCAAGTTATTCGACTCATTGCAGTTTCTCTATGGTGCCATCCATCCAAAAAACAGTACTTATGAGGAACTTAGAACACTAGCTCTTCTATTAACGAAAATAGATTCTGCTCCCACTGAAGCCCAATAAAAAGATCTAATAGAAAAAGAAGTCTACGAAGACGGCAGCTTCTCCAGCATAATATAAATAAATAAATAAATAAGCACCCCCCTTTACTTTCACCCAATAAATTACCCTACATAAGTAATCCACCCTACAACCTCATAACCATCCACTTTTTAATGAAATAAAGATCCCAGATCCAACTCAAAGAAGAGAGCTTCCTTATATCAACAACCAAGCTAATCAAAACAAAGAATGAATCTCAAAGAAGAGTGTCACCACACCATAATTTGTCCAAAATCTCAATCTCAAGCCATCCCACACTCCTATTGTCCTTTCACATACCAAACCCACATGACATTCTCACTGGCCTCCTATATCAACCACATAATTTGTGTTCCATCATGACATATAGAAACTGCTAGAGAACCCAAAATAACAAATATATATTTTTTTTTAAGAATAAACCCCTAAATGGACAGAGAATGGAGGCCCAAAAAATAGGGTTTCATGAAAATCCCAGTTCTGCCATTTGTGCTAAAATCCCTGATAATAACTCTCAAGCTAATAACCCAACTTGTGAATTCTTTTCAACCGTACACTCCATCCACAAGGTACATGCTTTCATACATGTCACGCATTTCCAGTATAGATACAGTACAAACAAGCAGGGAATTACCCCATAAGCAACATTAAAAAAAATTAAGAGAAGGAATAAATAGAAGTTTACCTGAGTGAAATAGCCAGTATCAGGTGTTCCATCCAAATTGATTGTAGAAGTTAGAGCCATTGAGAATTTCTCACCTTCCCTCATGGGATATACCTCTGAATTCACATCTAGGTGCATGAACATCTCGCAAGTCTCACTCTTTGCTTCGATTCGAGTAACTAACAAGTACCAAAAAATTAACGAAACAAGAGAAAAAAAACATCTTGAAAAATTATGTATAAGAATTTTTACACTTGCAATACCTTTATCAAACTTTTTGCCATCTGGGTTCAGTCGCAGAATCTGAAATATATCCTCGAACAGACGATCAACCATCCTTGCGTCTCTCACCACTGACCGTTGTTTCACCAGAAAACGACGGCGTTTTCCACCTGTGGGATCGAGTCCTGGAGACGATGGCTAAGCGAGCGAGACAGAGAGAGGACGAGAGGAAAGGTGTGATGCGGTACGTTTCTAATGCGGATCTAATATCTCCCCCCTTCGATCTATTGAACGGTCAGGATCTGCCTAGAAATGGCATAGCCAGTTTATTAATGAAAAAAAAAGGGAAATGACCTCCACTACCACCCATTTGCTAATATTAACTAAAAATACCACCCCTTCCCAATTTTTGTAAAACTATAACCTATAAGTATAAAATTATTGTCCTCCTATTGCTGATTTATCACAAGTTCTTAAATTTTGGTCTCTCTTAGCTCACTCAGCTCTCTCTCTCTCTCTCTGGCACAGCTCTCTTTCTCTTTGGTATATGTCTATCGCAGCTCTCTGTCTCTCTTGGCTCTCTCTCTTTGTAGCACAACTCTCTATCTCTGTCTTTGCTCTCTCTTGTCTGCTCCACTGAGATCTTCGTCGCCGCCTACCACACATCCACCGGAAAGAATCGGCTTCCGCTTCTTCTCACTTGGACTCACCGACCCAGCACGCCAACTCGCCCAATAGCTCGCCGGCGTTGCAGAGGTCGCTCACTTTTGTAGCTGCCAGCAGGATGAAGAAGGCATTGGGTCTCAAATCACCCGGGTTCGGGCTCCAAGAAGAGTCTTGGGTCCGGTGGGTCTGGGTTGGGACCTAGAAAGCCCAAGCGGGTTATGACGGTGGGTGAGCTGATGAGGATCCAAATGGGGATTTCTGATGCTATGGACTCTAGAGTCATGAGAGCTCTGCTTGGGATTTCTGCTGCTCAGGTGAGCTCAATTTCTGTGCCTTCTTATTTGTGATCCTGGTTGATCTGGTTTGATGGGTTTGATTTTGTTTGGTGGGTAATGCTTGATTTTTATCATAGTGATAATTGTGATGATGGGATGGATATGGAGCTTAATTTTGCTACTGGTTTGGCCAATTTTGGATTTTGGTTTTTCTTACTTTAAAACAAAAATTATTTCTTCACTAAGTGTAGTTCAATCTGATAAAACTGACAATGCAAAATATTTCACGAATGTTTAATTTCATAATGGGTAATTTCAAACTTTTGTGAATGGTCGTCTGCATTGGAATTGTAATTAATCAAGCCTTGTGTTTGATGTACTCATTACAGGTAGGAAGCTTTTTTGTTTATTTTAAATTTTGGGTATCCATCCCATTTATGAACTTCTGCCAGAAGTAATTAGGTTAATGAATCTAAACTTCATGCCTTTGAATATTCATCCCGTAAAATCTATGTACTTTTGTTGCAGAAGGCTTGATAGTAAATAGAAAATCTATATGCCAGGGGTTTTCTGGCTAGCTAAAAATGTGTGAGAAATGATGAATCTATCTTATTGCACCTTATTTGTTATTTAACATCATATTGATTCTAGTTTGTAACTTTTGTTTTTTTGCTTTTGTTTTCAGTTTTATGATGGTGAAACAGTTTACATTTTAGGATTACTTGAAAAATCCAGAATGCGTTATGTCAAAGCAAGCTTTAAACTATACTTCGTAGAGAAATGTTCTCTTGCCAGACAATCTGGCAGCGTAAAATGCTTATGTTGCAAGACTCTGAATTTAGGCCATTTATTATGTTGGTTCTTGTCTTAGTGTGTTATCTAAATTCACAATCTAGCAACATAAGCATCATTAGAGTAGTTTAGAATATTACTTTTGTCAGAGAAAAAAACATGGCCTTTCATTGGCCAACTGGTCCCATAATGAGAGTGTGTGTCATAGAAGAGCTGGTTTAAATACCAAATAATACATGTTTTGTTTTTTTGTTCTGTTTTTGGTATTGGATTTGTTTCATTTTCTTTTATTTGAAAAATGAAAATTAAGCAACCTTTAAACCAGTATTCTGTTTTGGTCAACCAAGGAATTAGAATTGTCAACTTCTCTTCTTTCCTGTATCCTGAAGTTTCAAAAGAAATACTCTGTTACTACATTGGTGTATTAAGCACCAACATCTCATGTAGCTTAAACTCTATGTGCTTGCTTTGTTTAGGAGCGTTATTATCTTGCTTTGAGGCTTTAATTCTTGTCACTTACAGGATTTATATGTACCTACTTTGCAGGAAAATCACTTGTTGGAATGGCAGAGGTTGAAGCAGCCATACAAGAAATGTTCCAGGCACCTCATATTCAAGTGAGTCAGATTATATCTTACAGTCATGATGAAAAATGATTTCTGTTGGTGAAACTTCTTTTATTTAAATGGTATGTTACATCTTAGAAGAGGTAATCAATACCCTTGAGTGAGGCAGAAGACGCAGTCATTACTACGTTAATATGCATTCCTAATATGAAATACATGAGATCCAGATAGCTACATAGTTTTTGGTCGAGTAACAAAGATGAAAATGGTGTCAGTTGGAGTTTGCTAAATCTTTTAAGTGCCATTCTTTAAAGGAGTAGCATGGTGAAAAATGGCTTTCAGGACCCAAATTATCTGATGCTGGTTTAAAGTAGTGAATTTCTGCACTAGTAGCATTCAACTCCATACAACTTTAGCTGCATAAATTGTTATTGGGTTGAAAGGAAGTTTTGTTTATCTATGTTGTATCTGGAAGAACAAAAAAATAATAATAATAAAAATTCTCTCTACCTTCTTCAGAGATATATTAATGCTAATTCTTTTCTTTGTTTTTTCTTGGCAGGTGATGAAAACTTCTTCCAGGCTGAGTAAAATATTTTTGACTGCCATGGTGTATGAACTCTACAAAACAGGAATGGGGGAAACTACTTTTGAAAAGGTGAACTTCTCAAGCTTTTTCCTGAACAATGTGTGCATTTACTTTTTTTGTATCGTACATTCAGAGTAACTTCGGTTTAAATAATAGTATTTCACACTGGAGGTGATGATTATTTTTGGGCCGCAGGCTTGCATTGAAATACGGACTGAAAGAATACTTATTGTTCTTGACTGCTATACTGCATCTCAAATACAAACCAGATTATTTTAATTTGGTTCACCAGTTTTTTGATGCCTTCACTGTATCTAGCTCTGGAATTATAGTGTTTTCATTTAAGTTATGTTTTTCCTTGCAGTTGGCAATGACAGTCTCATGCCTCTGTACAAGCAACGGAGAAGCATTTCCTGGACATGACATGCTATTAAAAATTGGGTAAGACGTGCGTTGATACTAATAACTTGCTATATGCATGTGTAGAAAACATAGTCTATTGATCTCCTCTGGTCCTTGTTGTCTTGTCAAATGGGAGTGTTATGAACCTCAAGAGTGTCACTAGTTTTGGATTTTGACTAAGAAAATATTGAGTGTTATATAAAATGACTACTTTGGATTTTACGTGGTTAGTTTTAGGTACTAGAGGAGTGGGATAGGCTGTTTGGATTTTACGTTCTGGTCTTGCTCTGAGAGGGAGAGAGGGGAAGGGGAGAAGGAGAGTGAGATTGGAAGTCTTATGTGACTAGTAAATTGGAAGTCTCGGACTCTTGTTAAGTTTGTGCATTTTCAGAATGAAGAATAATATTGAATTCTAGGACACCTATGCTACTGTAGATCATAATAGAAGCTTTCTGCTCATGTTCCAGTCAGGCAAACAGAAGTGCAGTATCCAAGACTGTGCTTGATTCGTGAAATTGTTATTAATATTGATTTATGACATTGGGTGATTGAGTTGGAGATTTCCAAATTGGACAATTCTTATTGCTTTGCTGATATGGTTCCAATATGCTTTGTTTTGGCAAAAATCGTCCTACTTATTGTACATTATTTGTTCTTTTAGACTTGATACGTATAAGTTTAGTTTCATCATATGCTCCTGGCTTGCTTGTTCTAACTGTGGGGCACACATAAGGCGGAAAACTTTACACGTAAGGCTTCACTGATGTCTTGAATGATGTCATTCAATAGTGACCTATTTTATATAATTTGTTTCTCTGCTTTATAACTACATTTGATATTTGGGGTTATATTGCATGCAGGCAAGCAACCCTAACAAGGTCCGAAGTGAATATAAATCATTCTCAGGGTAAAGTGCTGCCTAGTGTAAGAGTTTCATATCCAGGTCTTCTACTTAAACCTGATGAACCTAATTTGGGTATGAACTACATCTTTGAATCCCTGATTGCATCTTTGAGGCCAAAGCAGAAAAAATGCTAAACTACATACAGTTTAAAATAATAATAATAATAATAAAAAGTCGAGGCTTTATGAATTAGTTTACTATTCTTTTTATTTATTTATTTAATTTTATACTTTTATACTTTTTGTGAAGTCTTTTTTCTCTTATTTTTTTTCAACGTTCCCCTAACTTGGCACAGATGCATGTATGCCCGTGTGTACTCAGAACACAAACTCCTTTATAACTCAAAAGAACGGTCACAAAAGTTAGTTTTTAACTTGGAAAAATAAAATAAAATTGAAAGTTACTTTTGGGAAATGTTGAACTTTTATAATGAATATGGCTTCAGTGCAGAAGGCTTGATAGTAAATAGAAAATCTATATGCTGGGGGTTTCTGGCTAGCTGAAAATGTGTGAGAAATGATCAATCTATCTTATTGCAGCCTATTTAATATTTAATACCTTCATTAAAAAAAGGTTGTTGACAATGCTTTGACTATCTTGCAGATTATAATGGCAAAACCAGCAGGTGACCCTAGTAAGATAGATCAGCCTGCAGGGATGGATGAGGACTAATTTTGTGTGTATGACAATTGACTATCTTTGCTTGTATTGTTCTATGTTAGGGACCTTTTGTTCCATTTTAGTAACAATTTTGTTTAGGAGAAAAAGAAACATATTGCAGTTCATGCTTTGTAAATGCCACTCTTCTGTTACGATGGACACATGGTATGCCCTTGTTGGGTAGGTTTGGATTGAAACCATGGTCGAGTGCTTGAGCCATGTTTAGTGAGAAGCTTGAATGGATTTTCTTTTCTATTGTATTTGGCCCTTGTCTTTTCAAGCATGCCAAAAATCATCCCGGGTTTGTAATATGTGGTTTGGGGCCAATTAATTTACTGTGGATCTTGCATTTTTATACCCAATATTTGACAGCTGCCTTCTTTTGAACGAAGATTCATTGAGGGAGAGAATTATTTTCCTTTTGAATATGAATCGATGTGCAACTCCAACTATCATTTCAAAAGTCAACATCAATTCATGCTAATATAATGGATAACAATTGTCGTGCCCATGAGATTTGAATTCAGGATTACTTTCAACGAAGTGGAGACTGTTATTAGACCAAATGGCCATTGACATACAATATAATAGCAATATTAGGCCAATATATGTACACTATAGAGGCAATATTAGAGCAATATAACCACAATACGATAGCAATAGTATTACAATTATCACCTATAAAAATATAATTATTGTCCACTTATTGCTGATTTTTCAATGTTCAGAAATTTTGTTCTCTCTTAGCTTACTCAGCTTAATCTCTCTGGCACATCTCTCTTTCTCTTTGGTATCTGTCTATTGCAGCTCTCTGTCTCTCTATCTCTCTCTCTCTCTCTCTCTCTAGTGCAACTCTCTGTCTCTCTCTCTTTGCTCTCTTTCTGTAGCGTAGCTCTTTCTCTCTCTGTCTCTCTCTCTAGCTTCGTTCTGTCTCTTTCTCCCCCTATTCGCTCTCTTGCTCTCTGTCTCTTTATTCATACTTCCTTTTTTTTTGTAAATTATTTTTTAGTTGTTATTATTTTTTAAAATAATTTCTCACAATGTCTTATAGTGCAATTATGATGCACCTGACTCCCTGTTTTTTAAAGGCATGTTGTTTCTTTCTCCTCTTCTTCTTTTTGAATGAAGTATGGCCTAAACCGTAAACCCATTGATGAGCCGTAGTCAATATACATACAATATAATACCAATATTAGGCCAATATACATACATTAGAGAGGCAATATTATGGCAATATAATAGCAATACGACAACAATAGCATCACAATATACATGCAATATGGTGGCAATATGCATACAATATGTATACAATACATAGGCAATATTAGTACAATACACAAGCAATAGGACAGCAATATTAAGTCAATCTACATACAATACACACACATCCATTACAGACTACAATTTAGACATGGAAAATAAATCGCCATTGAACCCTAACAATATTATCCTGCGAAGTAAAAATTATTTCTTTCATAAAACTTGAAAATTCAATTGTTATTACATAGTCAACCAATCTTTGCTCTATTACATACATACTTCCTACCTATAATTATAAATAATGGAGAGCTCACAAATTCTACTAATTTGATCTTAACTTCAACAATTTGTTCTTCGTTGTATGAGTTAGCTCTCCCTTCTTGCACATTTTCCAAGCTGTTCTATTCTCCTCCCGTGTAGCAATATCAGCAACAACAGGTTATCTACAGATCTGAAATCATAACTGCAGATGATTCTCAATTAACAAAGAGGAAAACCATTTTCTTTTATAACTTTGGTTATGAAATATATAACAAAATGCAAAGACCTTTGCTTCTGAAAAGGAGCAAAAGTTTGTCAACCAATTCATAGTAAAAATGAAGAAACTAGTGAACCTAACCAGAGAAATGCTAACCTGCAAAACCAACTCCAATACTTTAACCCACAACATTAATACTTGAGATTTTCTTCTCATGGATTATGATTAGAGGATTTTCCAATTCCTATCAGCACATACACAAGTTTGAAGATAATCAGCATCAAGCAAAAAGGGACTTGAGATGCTGCCCTCTAACAGTTTCAAGACATAGTTATCGCTGAGTCAAACTAAAACTTACACATTTCTGATTGTTCTGGTTGGTGATGAAATAAGGGGATATGTAACCCCTGTCTAGCTTCATTCCCTCACCAACCTCCAACTCATTGTCCAATGTTTCCCCATCCTGCAGAAATTAACATAGTGTGAAGCTTACATGTTTTGGGTATCATTTGGGAATAAAAAACTAAAATAAAATTATTTGCCCTCCAATATATTTCTGTAAAAATTTCATAAGACCCATACATACCTCACTTTAAAACAACAATAAAAAGAAGTTGATATCATCCAGATTTCAGCCCTTGCAATACAGTAACTACACTAATATGCCTATGACAAAGCTGCTGACTAGAAACAAACATAGACAAACATATACAATCGTTATATTCATGAAACACAAACTGATATAGAAATAATGACTGAAACAACCCATGTGCAGATGCAGAGCGCAAATGAAATTGTGATTAAAGAATTGTACAATAATTGAAAATTTCATGAAACTCAAAACTCAAATCAGAGCTATACATCAAATCAAAGATAATTAAGACTTCAGTTAAGCATAAAAATAAACTGATGAACAAAGAGCAAACAATACTTGTTCTTCCATCATGGAACCAGATATGGACCCTATTGCCCAGCATAAGGTGTTTAAGTTGTTCCAATGCTCAAGGTGTGACAAATATTATCTCCCTCATGATCTACAAGATCAAAATGACACCAATAACAAAAAAATAAGTATGAAAACATTCAAGAAAGAAAATAACAAATAATCCAATACGTTTTCTACTATTAAGAAAGAAGCATATCGTAGAAACTGAGTTTCTTGTAAGATTAAAATAAATTTAAAAAGCTTCTGTAGATAGTATTTTCAAAAGGCTTCTGAACTTAATTTCTAACAAGAAAGTTGCCCAATACCATATCTAAACTCATACACAGAAAATCCATTTTTAAAACAAAACTAAAGAAGCATTACATGGCTAATGTGATTGTCCACGTGAATGAGCAAGAGTGACATGGACACAATGCTTAGAAAACCTACTGTCTCAAAATTTGTTGGGAAAAGATTTGAATGTTATTGATAGGAAAATGGTAAAGGTTCCAATGGTTAACTGAAAATCTCCCCAAAATTTCAAAACAAATTTAAGACACCTAACTAATTCAGACTTGTTGAGTCTCTTTCAATATGGAAGGTTTGCAAGTTCTGAGATAATAAATTGGTCTTTTCCCAGACAACCTTCTCGTTGATGGAAACTTAGAAAAACTTACCTATCTACTACCAATTTCAAACCATACATCTTTATTCAACTACAAAGAGATTACAAAATAAATTACAGTCGAATAGACTAATGAAAAACAGGGGGATTCAAGTAAAACTAAAGGAAGCATTCATACAAAGTAGAAAACAGAAAACTCAAAACAACAAAATTTCAAAGATAAAAGTATCTAAATTACCGGCAGCCCCATCATATTTGCAGCTGCTGCAGGGTTATCCAAATTATGATGCAACTCAAACAGTTCCAAAACCAAGGAATTCTAATATTCTAAGCAATCTTGCTCGAAGAAACAACCAATTCCAAGTCAAATTATCACTTCATTGTTCAAATGGGAAGAGAGAGAGAAAGAGCTAAATAGGGCCTTCGGGTGGGTGCTAGAGAGCACATCATAATTAATTATACCTTAAAAACTTCAGTGTCATCCATATATGAGATGTTTATTAGATATTCAAGACCCATTAGCAATGCGGCTATATTCTGTTGTGTGGTTTCAAGCACACGAATATGTGACTGCAAAAAGAAAAGGAGACAGCTAATAACATCCTCATTGGAGGCTTAAAGATTAATCATAATTGCAAACTCTTTTATGGATAAGTAAACAATAATTATAGACAACACAATACGTAAAGCTTAAAGATTCTGTTACAACATAAACCAAACAGCAAAACTATCATATCCAAATACGGCTGGCGAAGGTAAGGCAATATATAGACATATTTATCTGAAAGCTAACAAACTTGCCTTGTAAAATGAAGTGAGAAACAATGCCAAGTTCTGAATGAAGGCCTGAAGAAACAGCATCATATGAACCAGTTAAATACACACAATAGGAGAGCCTAAAATCATTAAATAGTGGCATAATCACTCAAATTAATATGTTGATATTAAACATTCGTGAAACATTTTGCATTATGAAATTAAACATTATGAAATTACAAATGTTTGAAATTACCCATTATGAAATTAAACATTCGTGAAACATTTTGCATTGTCAGTTTTATCATATTGAACTACACTTAGTGAAGAAACAATTTTTGTTTTAAAGTAAGAAAAACCAAAATCCAAAATTGGCCAAACCAGTAGCAAAATTAAGCTCCATATCCATCCCATCATCACAATTATCACAGTGATAAAAATCAAGCATTACCCACCAAACAAAATCAAACCCATCAAACCAGATCAACCAAGATCACAAATAAGAAGGCACAGAAATTGAGCTCACCTGAGCAGCAGAAATCCCAAGCAGAGCTCTCCTGACTCTAGAGTCCATAGCGTCAGAAATCCCCATTTGGATCCTCATCAGCTCACCCACCGTCATAACCCGCTTGGGCTTTCCAGGTCCCGACCCAGACCCACTGGACCCAAGACTCTTCTTGGAGCCCGAACCCGGCGATTTGAGACCCAATGCCTTCTTCATCCTGCTGGCAGCTACAGAAGTGAGCGACCTCTGCAACCCCGGCGAGCTATTGGGCGAGTTGGCGTGCTGGGTCGGTGAGTCCAAGTGAGAAGAAGCGAAAGCCAATGTGAAAGCCAGGGCCTTTCCGGTGGATGTGTGGTAGGCGGCGACGAAGATCTCAGTGGAGCAGACAAGAGAGAGCAAAGACAGAGACAGAGAGTTGTGCTACAGAGAGAGAGAGCCAAGAGAGACAGAGAGCTGCGATAGACATATACCAAAGAGAAAGAGAGCTGTGCCAGAGAGAGAGAGAGAGAGAGCTGAGTGAGCTAAGAGAGACCAAAATTTATGAACTTGTGATAAATCAGCAATAGGAGGACAATAATTTTATATTTATAGGTTATAGTTTTACAAAAATTGGGAAGGGGTGGTATTTTTAGTTAATATTAGCAAATGGGTGGTAGTGGAGGTCATTTCCCAAAAAAAAAAAAAAAATTTTACTTTTTCCTTTTTAATAAAGAAAAATAAGAAAATTTGCCCTCCTTGTGGACCATTGTCGGCTACTGAGACACGGATTCTGAATACATTTGCCCTCCTTGTGAACCATTGTCGGCTTGATCAATTTGGTTCCCACCTTGCCGTCTCTTTGTAGTCTCCCCGTCTAGATTCAAATACACATAAACAAATTAATGTCCTAAACTGACAACGATGTCCAAAAACAACTAAAAGTAAATTGCAACAAAATCCTTCGGTTGCTGAGCATATTAATTTAATTTAGAGGAAATGAGAATTTTTTTTAGTAATGTTTTGAAAGAATAATCAGATTAAGAATTTAGCAAAAAATATAGGGTCATGTAATCAAATAAAAGCATCATCCATAGCTAATCATCATAAGACGTTTCTTTTAGAGCACTTCCAGCGCAAGGTCTTTTGCCAGGGCAGGAGGCCCCTTTTGAAGGGTTTGGACCTCCAGTACGCAATCAGCAGCCCGGGCAAACGTGAAGGCTGATCCTGCCTGGGTTTCAGCCCGAAGGCGTTGACGTCATCGAGCAAAAAAAAAACTCGAAAAAAAATTCAAATTTTTTTATATATAAAAAAAATACTAAAAAATTATGGATGTTTTCCCTATAAATACATAACAATTTTATTCACTTTCCCTATAAACTACTTAATAAGTTTATATTTTGTTTCTTTTTTTTTTTTTTTTTTTTTTTTGCCCTTGCCCTAGCCTTTTGGGGTGGAACCAAAAAAGGCAAGGCTGCCACTATTCACGTGAATAGTAGCAGCCCTTACCTTGCCTTAGCCTTACCCTTAGTCTTTTGGGGTGGACATGCTCTTACTATACACTCGTGTTGTCAACCAAAAATCTAACCGAAGAGCATTTATGCTTTTATTGCATGTTTACTTACCAACGATGAGTATGGGAAGTATGAGAGCGATTCTAATACCTAACTTCTCCGACGTTTACTAAAACATGTGAATCCCATCTTAAATATGTAATCACACATCCTCAAATCAGAAATTAGATCGACTAGGGAGTTGTTGACCTAATTCCCATTCATGTTCTTCCTTTTCCTTCCAAAAACTAACCTTACAATTCTCATTTGATTTCTTAGTGTTTTTTTGGGGTGTCAAAGTTTGAAAAGGGGACGAGGCCCGAGGGAGGTGTCATTGGGGTTTGAACATAATAGGGGCGGAGCCATGTAGGGACCATAGTGGTCCCAGGCCCCCTCAATCTTTATATCCCTTGTAATTATATATATATATGATATATAATATTATAATATATTAGATTATTTTCGGGATATTTACTCTAAAATAAATAATATATTATTAAAAGTGTTGTTGGTACTGATTCTCACATAATCAAAAAATGATTGCCGCATAATCATTAAATCCAACGCCTCTTCGAAACTGATTCCTGCATAATCAGAAAATGAAAGCACCTCATTAGCTGCTTTTCCTTATAGCTTTCTCTCACAGTAATTTTTAACAATAAGTGATTTTCTCATAGTTTACCAAACGGGTTGGACTTCCCAATTTTTTTAAAAATCACTTATTACCAAACGGGCACTTAGTATCGTATTAACTTATTTAATCGGTTAGTGCTTGAGCACTCCTATTCAAATTATTTTTTAAAGTTTTGTGAAGGTCCCCCTCTAATGTGAAGTCTTGGTTCCGCTACTAGAATATGATATCACTAATCTACATGCAAATGCTCCTACCATTAAGCTATGCACTCGCGTGCTATTTGTTCCATTCTTGTTAAGTAAACTTCCCATTTATTTTTATTTATTTATTTGGGCCCGTTGGTTCACGGAACGAATTTGAGGGGAAATCACTCTCCATGTCATTTTCTAAAGTGAAGGGAAATCATTTCTCATGTACCAATCAACCATTTTCTATATCTGAACTTATGAAACATGGAAAATCAATTAATTTTCTATGCCCTAACTTTTTTCTCATAAACCAAACGGGACGTTTATGTGACAACATGCCATTAATCTACGGTGAATATAAACAGATACTCTTTTGGAATACAAGCCAGACAATTTCTCCCACCACGTGGTTGGAAGCCCACCAATTTGGAGAAACCGTCCAGGTAGGTCCCAGGTAGGTAGATATTAGAGAATTGAATATTCAGAAAAGTGAAAAAAAGAAGAAGCTCAAGTTTGATTTGAATCCCGAAGCGTCTTGTGTGGAGTATTTTGGACCTCAGATTTTTGTCTGGTTGATGTTCACACACCTTCAAAATCTCCGGGATTCTCTCACAAATTACTTGCACTAAAACACCTTCTTTGTTCAGACCAAAATAAAAAATAAAAAACACCTTCTTTGTTCACCAGGCTCCATTTCTTATAGTTCTTGAATCTCTGACTGTAATTGCGGATCTCCAATAAAATTGGAGATCCATTAGCAGATTTTTGCATTACTTCGTGCGTATCTCTTACTTCCCTGAATTCCGGCTAAAAAGTTTGGATTTTGAGAATAATTCTGATCTGTGTTTATCATAAAAAAAGAAGGTGGTGGTTTGAGCTTGAGCTTTTGAGAGAGGATGGTAGGGGCTTTGTCTGTTGTGGGTTCGTCAATCGTGGACTCGCATACTTCTCCATGCTTGTGTTTGGATGCACTGCCGACAACTGCTATGAATCTCAAGAGTGGCGGAGAAGTGGTTTTGCAAAGGAATTCAATGGCCAATAAGAAGCGTTTGGTGAAACCGGGTTCCTTGGAATTGAGCAGTTCATTTATTGATTCTGGGCATGACAAGCGGCTCTCAATGAAAGCTCTTCCGGGTATTGTCAATAGGAGTATGAGGAAAAGAAAGAATAGGAGTTCCGTGATTGTTAATGAACTTGCCGGGCAATATGAAGACAGTTTCGAGGATGTTAAGACGGTGAGAAACTTACCCTCTGTTGAATTTTTGGACGAAGTTTATATGAGAAATTTAATAGGATTGATGTTGCATGTGTTCATCTCTCTTACTTAGATAACATGATGTATTTTTTGCTGTTTTGGTGTGTTGAGGACCCTTAGTTGGATATTGCATCCCTTTGTTTATATAGTTGAAAAAAGAAGAAGAGGAGAATATTTTCTGAATTTTGTGTATATGATGCCATTTGCAGTAAGTGATCATGTTATCTTTATATAAGTTGTGTAGGGATAATCTAAATCATGCAATCCTGTTATCTTTTGTTTGCTCCCATATGATTGCTCTTTTACATACATGAACACGGATGTTGATCCATGTACGAACTAGTATCTTGTTGTAAATTAGCTGACTGTAATTTCTCTGCCTGCAGCAAATGCTCAACTATTTTACGTACAAGGCTGTGAGGACTGTTATGAGCCAGCTTTATGAGATGAACCCAACACAATATAGGTGGTTTTATGAGTAAGTGAGATCATCAGACCATTTTTCATACTATTAATATTTACATACTATTAGCAGACTGTCCTGGAGTACCCAAGTTTCATCCCCAGCATTTGTTAGAAAGCACATATGTCTCGGTTCATCACTTTAAGAACCGTTTTATCTAATCCTGCTTCCTTTTCCGTTCGGACAGCTTTGTTGCAACACACAAGCCTGGAGATGGGAAGCGATTCATCCGTACCCTCGGGAAGGTGGTCTTTGAAATCTTGTATTCTTTGGTTGCTTAGAACTCATGCAAGAAAATACATTTTGTTTTGTTTGTTTTAGCTACATATACATATACATATGAATGACAGAAATACAACCCTTGCTAATTGACAGGAGAGGCATGAACTTGCCGAGAGAGTAATGGTCACACGGCTTCACCTCTATGGTAAATGGGTCAAGGTAAGCAATTCTAAAATTTATCACAAGCACTTTTCGTCAACGTGCAGAGCACGTATCTCATGGAAAGTCTTGGACGTTGTAAGAACTGTATATAATTTTTTCTCTTTTGGTGATGAATTTTGATGTAGAAATGCAATCATGCTGAAATATATCAAGAAATCTCTGATCAGAACTTGGAGTTGATGCGTGAACGGCTTATCGAGACTGTGATATGGCCCTCTGATGACAACACGGAGAAGATTGGCTGAGAGAGATTGCAGCTTCTATCAAATGGTTGAGTCTTCTTACCGTGTTGTTCCTAGACTAGGTATATTTCTCTTTACATACCAGATTGGTTCCAGTCTGTCATTTATATTATTTGCCACCAACTATAAGTTGCTGAAAATTGTCTACCGTACATTGTATATAAACTGCCATCCGCCATGTTACATTTGATTCCGAGTGTACAAGGCTAATATTCTGCCTATGTATGAATGTGATGAAAACTGTAAAAACTATAATGGATCTGAGTGTCCTTCTAGTTCAATGTGATTTACAGGATGCATGGATCCGAATCTCGAAGTCCTTGAGGCTGCTGGTTTTATATGAACGAATCAATAACATGATGAATCATCCTGGGAAATAGACTTCTTGGAGTTTTGAGAGTGATTTTGTCCCGTCAAATAAGAAATCTGGATAACCCCCTAGCACAAATCATAGGCCCAGAAATAACCCCTACCCCCAACAAAAAGACAAAAAGAAAAAAATCCCTCAATTTTCTTCTATCTATTTATTACATCTTTGTTCGTCAAGACTTCAACTAATGAGGAATTGTCCCTTGAAATTCATTACCTTCTTACTGAAAGAGATGAAAGGCCAATGACCTCTTTAGATATTGTTACTCAAAAAGCTGAGTATCAGCATTTGACACAAAACAAACTCAGCAAACGTCAACTATTTGTGCATCACTTGACAGAAAAGCAAACCCACTACGCCAAGTCCCATCATTTCAACTCTGATAAAGGGTCATGGATTTCCAACGTAAGATGAATTTGGTGCTCGCATGTACTCATTTCGTGCTCCCATTTCACCACTTTCAGTCACTTAGGCGAGCGGGACTGTCGATTTTAAAACCAAAGGTTGCTATGCGAGAACAGATGATTCCTTGACTTGGGCAGCCCCATGGACGGAAATGGAACACTTAGTAGCACATAAGAAAACTAATTTCATGAATTTTTAGCATTTCAGATTCTTGTCAATAGTCAACTAAGATCACAGATTTGGTTAAATTACATCTGAATGTAAGACAAGATATTATCTTGCATCCTTAAGTACTCCTACACGCAAAAATGTATAATTGCTAGTAAACTAGTAAATCAATTATATTCTCATAAGTTTCACCTAAAAACAATCCATCTGTTCATATATGAGCTCATCTAAAAACCTCGTATATTTCTAAGTAAGATACTGCAGTATAGGTCCAGTGCAGTCAAGAATATCTCGGTTTTTCTTTTTCCCTAACAAGAAAATTTGGGTATCATAATGTATCAGGTAATTTAGATACTTGTTCCCCAGGGCTTTCTAAATTTTGAAGCCACAGAATTGAGCTTCGTTCCAAACACAAGTAGCCCTACCTCAATCACAGTAGCATCAGAGCATCCTTGCCGGATACCTCATCACAGAGCTCCCACAAGGCCATCAATGCAACAACATGCCACGATATACTGGTCACTTTATACATTTGGAAGCAAAAGATTGCCGCTGTATACAGCATGTTTACAAATCTGACAAATGATGCAACAGTATTGTACACAATGCGATGTGAGTCAGATGGTACACTAAGTTACATAACTACATTGATCATATGATACATGGTAGAAAAGGGGTTTAAAAAAACGAAGGAAAAAAAAAATACAAAAGGCTGAACAGAGAGTATTTTTTAAGGTAACCTGGTTAGGAGTACCCACAAAATAGAAAGTTTCCACACTGCTGACTGGAGGAAAAAAAAATGAAAGCATTGTGTTACACCTGCGAAGGAAAAATAACAAATGTAAACTTAAACTTGTGTAATTAGAAAATCAATTCATATCTTCATAAGCTTTTCCAACGCCCCACTCGGGGAAAAGAGAGAAGAAAAAACAACCTACTTCAAAAGATATTAGCATCTCATGACAAGTAGTGGCAGCCATTATTCTCAGAAGATAGAAGTTATTAGAGAATAATGGTAGGGTTATGTATAAGTGCAAAATTATTTTAACACGGTGCATGCAATTACTGGACGAAGGTACAATCTCAAGCACTGGTACAAGTAAAACTATTAGTTTCACTACATTTCCTTCAATACAACCCTTTGTACTTTTAATGAAACCCTAATATATCGCCACTATTCCATTATAATTACCATATAAGACACAACTTGGCTTCAAATAAAATAGGAATACTTTTGTATTAAAACAAGACAGACATATCTCATTTTGAGAGAAGCTTACCACGTGGTTGTAAGCCATAATTGAAAGGCTGAACATTCAATGAGGTCAAAACTAGTACAACTTCATCATTACTCCTTTTCTTTGCCAGTGGTTCAAGCATAGGAAAATCATGTTGAGCAATCACCGAAGGTCGTAAATTGCCCAAGTGCTGTTCTTACTCGAAGCTGTGCCATCAAATGAAACGGATAAGATTTAGCAGATTATCATAAACAATGAACAAATAACAAATTTGAGATATAAGATAGCAACCTTAACGTCTGGGCAAGGATCATTGACCATGCTCTTTATTTGAGAAACTATGCCAGCACTGTGCAGTTTTACAAGCCGGCTAAATGAACCAGGACTTGATGGAAAAGTAAGATTCACAATGGCCCACACTGCAGCTGTACGTAACTGGCTTTCATTACTCTGCAAACACTTGAGAATAAAAGATTGTGTCCCATTGTCTTCTTGTGGGATGAGTTGATGCATAACTGCTTCCTTGTGAAATTCAGTCCCACTTGCAACATTACTGAGCACATACATTCCCTATATGAAAAAGATTTTGAAACCCTACTATAAAGTAAAAGATTTATAATAGAAACAAGAAGATCAACTATTACAACTGCTCACCCACTCCTTTCTTCTTCATATTTAAACCCAATCTTAGGGGAAGTTATTATTCATTCTTAAGCTCAAAATATTCTATTCATTCTTAAGCTCAAAAAATTCTATTCATTCTTAAGCTCTAAATGGGGCTATTCAATAAACTTCTTACCCAGAAATTGAAGGCTTAAAGCTAAACAATTTTTTTTTTGAGGACTTAAAGATAAATAAAACAAAAGTAGGGGTTTATTGCTAAAAAGTGTTGCCTTTTGGGGCCTACTGCTAAAATCCCTTTACTTTATCGTGAGAAAGTAAACACTTTGGTAATGTAGATATTCCATCTGAATAAAGTATAAAACCTTTCACCTAACTATAATCCATATTAAAGATGGAGATGATGTCAATTTAGCTAAAGCATCTGGCTGCATTCTAATCCATGAGAAGCAACTAATTGGCCCACCATTAATTGCTACAAAACTTTCGCCCAATTATAATGATGTCAGCTTAGTTAACATATACTATAAACAAACTTGCAATCAGGAATGAAATATCAGAATAAAGAACTGATATGACTGCATGTCACCAAAGGTCCCTATTAAATTGCTATTTTCTGACACCATTCTATAGAAAGACTTCTAACCTGTATCCAAATTTCATCTGTTGAAGCATTCTGCAACTGCCTCCGAACAGCATCTAATATCATACCATCTTCAGTAAACACAAGCTCAACAGACTTAATACATCCATCAACTAGATTACGAATAAGTGCCAGAGCCTGCTCCTGGACAAAAGGTTCAGGGTCTGCAGGTGCAAATACATTTAAGCAATGGTTTATGTTCATAACTAGACCATTAACATAGTAAGAAACTTTTTTAAAAGAAAAACTTTGAACTGCCACCAATAAACCATCACATTACCACAGATGACACTTGCTAATGACGAAGCTGTGAATTCCATGAAGATCCCTTCTTTACATACATTGTCTGCAAGGAACATCAAGTTCCTCAAAGCCCATAAAGCATTTAACCTCACAGTTGAATCCATTGATTTTGATAACTGAACAAGCTGTTTCACACCTCCACACTGTACAAATAATGACCTACGCATAGTAAAATCAACTGCTATGTTGCCAAGAACACTGATAGCTGCAACCTGAAAACAGAGCATTGAAGCAAGATTTGCTATAAATTACCTTTTTTATTCGGGTAAATGACAAGGTATAGTATTTGACTCTGTTGGATAAGCACAATTATCATAGGGAATGGAAATGCTAATCTAAACTTTAATTGTATGTATTATGTTAAATAATTTGCAATGAAATTATATGTTTTTACTGAATGAGTAATACTGGTTGAGATAGGAATTGACTATTTGAAAATATGGATTGCTGTCAGTAACCCAGGGCCTTTAATGACAAAAGGCTACTGAAGACAAACAAATGACAGCCAAATTCAGTCTGGAAAACCTGATCTGTTAAGTGTTTTACTCTTGAATGGTAAACTTGATCTTTTAGTTGAATGCATTAATGGATCCTTCACATCAATGTGCTCATCCATAATGTTGTTTGACCCTCTCAATATATAATGCCCAGGCTTGAGGCTCCAAATAATACACAAAGGCAAACTCAAATCTCCTAGCCTAAAGTCCAACTGATTGGGATGAAGGGCACAAGAAGCCAGATCTTTCTGTCTTTAACTATAGTTTAGATCATGATTAGTATCCTTCAGGGCTGTTATGATATTGAAGGTTGTTTTCTGTCTTTAAAACCGTAATCCATCTACTCTTCAAAACACTAAAATCCATAAAGTAACTAGCTCTCCCTTCTCCAGAAACTGTTGAAATCATCCTTATCGATCACAGAAAAACCTTTAGGCCCTAACCCAAACCCTAACTTTTCTCCCTTCTAATATCTTACAACCACAAGTTTTTAACCCATTTGACCTGAAGATAGCTTTCCTAAAACCCCCTAAACAAGACCTCCCTTGTCATGTGTCAACTGGTGTCGCCTACTTGTAATCTTTTTCACCATTCAACCCAATCTCAGTCCATAGTCTCCATAAGAACTTTGATGGCTATGTGCTTCAATACTTCCAGCCATGTGTGCGCCTTTTCACCTAGGAATAAAATCACTCTTTACTACCAAATTATTAGGACGGAAAAGAACGTAGAACTTGGTATCAGCCAATACTAGTACACCAAATTTGTTCATTTGTAGTTCTTTGGCATCAGCCACCATCATACATATTGTTGGTGTAAGCAACAATCAACTCGACTTCTCTTCTTTTATCTTTCCCTCTTTTTCATAAGTATCATGTAGAGCACTAAAAACAGAATTGATTATACAGAGAAATTGTAATGTAATTTTAGCAACTATTTTGCATTCATGCAACTGGGTTCTGTATTTCATTCATGTAATATGCTTGGGAATAATGTGAGACCAGACTCTAAGGTTGACAGCTGACAGAAAAACATGGTCATTAGTGATAAGCAAGCATATACCTGGACAGAAGTAGAAGGGTCATCTAATAGCCGAACCAAGGGAGGGACAATCATTTCATTCAAAAAATTACCTGCACACAAATTCTGAATGACAATTTCTTAGAAACATATATGCATGTAATATAATTATGAATAACAATTTCTTAGAAACATACATGCATGGAATATAATTCTAAATATCATCAAGCAAGTACACATTGCAAACCTTGATCGACCGAGAGACACATCTCAAGCACATGCAAGCTGCAGTACGTACGTCAGAACTATCATGAGTTAGCGCATCAGATACCAAGTTCAACGCCTATATTCAGGAAAATATCAGAAGTTACAAACCGGTTGGAATTTTCATAAAGATATGCAAGCATTACCCCATAACTCAGCAAATTTACCCAATTAATCATAAGTTGCAATACTTCTCAGCAAAATAAGACATGATACTCAATAATGTCTCACAATTTGCATGTAGAAAAAAAAGTAAACTTGAGCAGCCATGCAAAAGTTTAGTTAATCATTTTAACAGTGGATCAAAATAAACAAAGTTTCCAATCCCTAACAATTTGAATAAAAAACTTAAAATGTTCGCCTGCTAAGATCAACTCCTAACAACTACAGAGTACGTAACCCACACTACTCAGTATTAAAATGTTCTCAAACCAAAAAAAAGAAGAAGGGAAATGAGGACTGCAGGGCCCTTGTCATGATGTTTTTCTCACAGAATGACTTAAACTGTTATTAGGGAAAATAAACATGCAAAACTAAATGAATAGAAAAAGAAATATTGTTGGTAAAACAGCCCTAATCACAACCAAAACCATGAACGGAGAATAAACATTCAAAACTAGATTAATAGAACAAAGAATTTTATTGACAAAACAGTAATAATCACTCCCTGGCACAAGTTAACGTATTCTAACAAACCTGCAATGACAGGAATCTAGACCTGCAGCTCTCCAACTTTGAGCATAGATCGGCCAGTGCCAGCAATATTCCTTGGAAACGTTTGGGACGTAACTGACTTTTTTGCAAGTGGTTGTAAAGTTTATCAATAGCATTTGCCTCAAATGCTAGTTTCTGTAGATCTGGTTTTTCTGAAATTAAACTAGAAAATGCAAAGGGAGCTTCATCTCCAACTTGACCAGGATCATCATGAAGTTCAAGTAAGAGATGCACCAACTTGGTTTTGATGCCTATATCTTGTAAATAGCAAGCAGAAGTGTTCCTTATAACAATCAAGCACATAGAGGCCAATAATCTTGTACGGGGATACCTATCCTTTGTCAATCCAATTACAGAACTCAGAGCTCTTCCACTTTCAGATCCCACAAACTCCGAAACAGCTTCAACATTGTTCTTCATAACTGTGGCTAGAGACTCTAAACTATTATCTCTCTGACTTAGAGAACCTTCAAGAAGGCTAATTAGCTTCTTTACAACCCCAGCATGACACAGTGCCTTCTGCTCTGCAGTACTCTCACAAGAATGTAAGATAATACTTGCACCAAGTCCAGTAACATTCTCATTCTCACTATTCAATAATGAAAGAAGAAATTCCATGTTTTTTTCTTGAAGGAAATCACACTTTGGAGCTAGTTTCGACTGATAAATCATTCTTAAGGAACGTGCACCAGCATCCACAACCTACAGCACAAAAAAAAACCATTGAAATGGCATTTAAAATAAGCAGGGAGAAAAAAAAGGTATTCATGGATGTAGGACATCTTAGAAACAAGGGTCCATTCTGCAATTAACCCAACAAAGAACCAGTAGAAGTAACGCATTAACTAACTGAAAAAGAATAGATGAACATGTCAAAAAAGTATCTTCCATATATATTTAAAAAATTGTAAAGAAAGGGAGGACAAGAGATTTCCTTCACCTTTATCCACCCCATGACTCCACCCCACTAGATATTAAAAAATGTGATATAGGGGAAGTACAGAGAGAAAGTCAAATATTGGAATGTCTAGTGGTGTGTCAGTCTAGTTGTTCTATCTTTTGTAACATGTAGATTTATACGCTATATTACATGTGTAGGCATTCATTTAGAGCAAAAGACAGAGCTGGCACCTTGACATGGATAAGCTATAATTCTGGATGGTGGAATTCCACAATTCTCTCTACAACCAATGTTTTGATCCAACTTCAAATCAAACTGCCAAATCAGGAGAATTATTTATATCATCAAGGTATATATGGGATCCTTCATATGGGAGTCACTCCTACAATTCCAATGATTTACAATTATGGGTTCTTTTTCTTACTAATCGCAGACAAACATAATCCCATTATCCCATACCCATTCATTTAGATAATTAACACTATCTATATATTAATTTCTTTGATTTTTATAAATGAATAAACAAATAGTGGCTGTTCTGCAATAGAAAAAAAAAATACATATTCTTTTTATTCAAAAAAGTCATTCAAAGCTGTGTGATTGTGTTTTCAAAGTTTTCTTAATCAAAATAAAGGTCCTTGAGTGCAATTTTCCTGCAATCATCTGTAAAAGAAATGGAATATAACAAGTTTTGATAATAGTGGTTGACAGAGCACAGGTTGGTGAAATTTGCCTATTGTACTGTATGCTCTGGGGCTGCAAATAGAGGTTTCAAGACTTGTAGTTGCTGGGGAAGAGTATAGTAGAATTAATTAGGGATTAAAATACTAGACTTTAGAGGGTAATAGGGGCTATACTTCAAGATGACAGGTTGCTCAGATTCTGGGCAACAGGTAATTCTGGGATTTTTCAGGTTGCTTTCAAGAGGTATTTTGAGGGCTAAAGGTAGTAGGGAACATATCTTGTTTTACATTTCTAACTGTGCAAAACCAGGATTAAAAATTGGGGTAGAAAGGTAAGAAAAGAAAGAAGCTGGGTGCTATTCTTGCAGAGTAAAGAGAGAGTATTACAGGTCAAGCACGCCATAAATCAATAAGTAACCCATCAATCCATAATAAGTACCCGATACATATTGAATCCACTCACATTATAGCACGTGTAAAAGAATTATGATGGGTTTAGGGTTTATACATGAATGACTATACATGTGTTATGATATGGGTGGATACAATACACCAAGTGGATACATGGTATATTGGATACACACAATAAATTTCTTCATAATCCATCATTAGAAGCCTGAATTCTTTGAGGACATATTTATCGACTTTGGACAACCATTTCCTATTAGGTGTAGAACTTTGCCAAATCTGGAAATTAGCAAATAGGCCCTCATTCCCATGTTTGACCACTCTTCCCTGGTTGGAGAAAGCTTTCTCTCAAGTTTTGAAAGGTGTCAACAAAGAAATTCTAGGCTTCTTGTTTTGCATAGTTGGTACGTGCTATGAAAAAGTGAAATAAGACTATAGTAAAAAAACCAGTCCCAGATGCATTTTATAGAAGTTTCTGTCAAAACTTTCCCTGTGAATAGATAACAAACTTTTTTTTATTGCAAACCCTTTACCTTGTCACGTGAACTATGTGAGTATTCCCAACACATCTCATCTTTCCTCTAATGGACTTTATTTGGATAATTGAATAATGCCTGGGCAAAATTTAGAATGTCAAAGTAACTATTATACCAATAAAATATTCAAATATATACTTGTTGTTTTGAGGGGTAGCTAAGGCAACCTAAGAGCGGACTCCATATAGGAATTTTGGCTTAGTAAGCATCGATATTCGTTTATAAACTATACAGTCTGAACTATCTTACCAAATATAAATATGTACCTACAGTACATACTTTTAGTGTACACATTGCATGTACTTGTCTATGCATATATCTCTCTGTTATTCTTGGCAAACTTTAAACCTATAGCCAAATCCCAATCCCACCCCAGCTCTTATTGCTTGATCAAAGGTCTAAGGGGCCATGTAAATTAGTGATCAAATAAAAAAAACAGATTCAACTACCTCATTAAAGCTTATAAGCATAAAAGTTGTTATAAATTTCTTTTAAACTTTGCAAATCAAAGCATCTTAAGACCCTAAATCAGATCCCAAGAAACAATCCATAGATTCAAACTGGAATCCTAAATAACATAACCTTTGCACAGCCCCAGAACCAATAGGCATAACCTGGGCGCATTTAACACAGCCAAAGCATGTGGAATCGATCTTTGTTATATACGACTTAACTGTGACACCAAATAAAAATGGGAAGCCTTTGATTGAAAAGTGAACTCGAGGCACAATCCATCATATTGAAAACAATTCATCCTAAGCCAAAAACCTTTGCTTGCTCCATAGCTTATAAATGACTGTTAACATAGTGTGAATATAAAATGCAGTTAGTTTAACTTTAATCACAATCCTAGTTTTCATAAATCAAGAACTTCCATTCTTCATACCTGAATTTCTCGTAATTTACAAATTAGAAACTTAAGCCAGGGAAACTGACATTGAGGTCAAAATACACCTAGAGAAAGCAAATGGAAATTGAAATTGAAATCTCATCTACTAGTAACGGAAACGCATCAATTCACCCATCTGTGATGAGTAATTCACATCACATTTTTAAAACCCGAAGCAAAAAAGTAACAAATTTTCTCGGCAACCAAACATTACAAACACATTAAGCGACCCAATCAAATGTTCTCACCCAGCTAAAAACAGTAGAGAGCCAGCCAACATGCATATGCATCAAATTCAATTCATTTTGCAATACAATAAAATGAGAAATCAAATGAATTATGTACATACCTTATCATCAGGATGCGATAGAAGCAAGAAGAGGTTAGGAAACACACCGGCGTCGAGAACAGCTCGGACTCCGGCATCGAAGCCGCAAGCGAAGCTTCCTAGGGCAGCGGTGGACTGAACAAGGAGATTGGAGTCGTGACGGGCCTGAGCCTGGGCTTGGGCTTGGACTTGGGCTTGGGCTTTGGACGCGAGGATGGCGGCGACGGGTGGTACCAAACCGAGCTTGATGAAGGAGAGCTTCTTGGTCCGGTTGCCGATGATGCGGTTCTTGAGCTCCCTCAGAGCCTTGAGCTGGACTTCGGATTCGGATGAGGTCAGCCGGGTCAGAAGGTCCGAGTGGGCCCCACTGGTTGTGGTTGTGGTAGAAGAGGCCGAGGCCGAGACCGAGACCGAGGCGGAGACGGAGGCTGAGGAGGGCATCGTCGTCTCGCTGAAGAAGACGATTCCGGTGTCATGCAATGGCCACCAAAGCTCCGCGGAAGAGCGAGCTAGAGGGAGAAGAATGGGTGACTTTGGGGAGAAAACTAGAGAGAGAGAATTAGAAACTGTCTCCTCGGATGAACATTTGTGTTTATTTTCAGACAAAAGAAGGAATTTTTTTAATATTTTAATATTTTAAAATTCTTTTAATTTTATAGACTCATTTATGAATGATTGTGTTGGCTTGCAGCTGATTTGCGAGCGATGCCATTTGATTTGGTTTGGTTATTATTAACTGATTTTCATAATTCGAAACTGAAAAATACTTAAGAAAATACATAAAATGCCAAAATCAACCGACTGCCGACTTATTTTTATGTATACATGTTTATATGTTTGTCATACCTCAATATAATTTATTCCTTACTAATTGTTGATGTCCAAAATGGAGTAAACTTAAAGTGAGCTTGTCCTCAGTCGCTACCGTCCTTGGACATGTGGAAGGGAGATCTGTAAGAGAGATAAGATCGGTAAGAACTTTGGTACCAATGTGATACTGGTTGAAGGCACCTCGATACTTAAGTTAGTATCAATGGAGAATAGAAAGGTAATTCAACATAATAACGGCACACGTTCTAATTTACTAGTGCCTAGTGCCTAGTGCCATGTGGCGAGATTTATGGACAAAAGAGGTGAGAACTCTTTTGTGGTTCCTTCCATGTGGGATTCCTAGCATGGCATCATATGTGACTAAGGTGAGGCATTATGCTTTGGATTAGAATTAAGGCTCGCATTGCATACTGAAAAACCAACCAAATCAATGAAAAAAATAATGTCATTAGGTCAACAAAGCAAGAAAACTGATCGACCCTAGTCAGTTTTATGGACTGACTGACCCTAGTCGGTTTTGAAAACTCATGCATGATGGTTTATCGAACCAATTGACATATATAAATAAATTAATTAATATATATTAATTATATTTGTACTAATTATAGCCCTTAGATTAATCTAATGGCTAGGATTTTAGGATTGGGATTAATCCTAACTGTCGGATTATCTCACTCAACCTCATCTCTCTCACTCTCAAATAAGACTCTCACTCTATTCCCCCCAAAAAAAAAAAAAAAAAAAAAAAAAACATCTCTTCCTCTCCTTTGAATCCCCTCAACTAAATCGCCATATATGTCGTCGTTGAGCAATCTGACTTCTTTGTAGAGCTGACAATGAGTCTTGTCATGTCGGAGATTGAATTCAAAATAGAGATGAGGAGATCGATTTAGGCTGAGGGTTTTCATTTGGGTGGGTTGAAATCCATTACCCTAGAGTGCACGGTGGAATAGAATAGAATATGACAATATATGCATGCCACATATTTATTATTATTAATAAAAATTAAATAGTAAATGTGTCATGTATGTCATTTTGCGGGTTGGTGGGTTGACCCTAAACCCACAAATTTATCAGACGTCTCATGGCGGGTTGACACAAATTTGATGTATAATTGTAATCGTGTGGGTTGACCCGCTAATTTTCCTTCTGGGTTTTGAGTCGTATCGAAAATTGCCACCCCTAGTCTCAATCTTACCTCTCTACGGTCTCAATCTCACCTATCTTTATCTCAATTATCATCGCATCTCTCTTATCATCTCATTCTCAACCTATATATCATCTCTCTCCTCCATTCAAACGTTCTAAGTCTCTTTGCTCTCTCTAAATCGAGTAGCATGCTCCTCACCAGACAAATTGTTTAGCTCTTTACTGTGAAACCTAATTTTTGAAATTTGGGGTTCTAATCAGAGTTTCGAATTTGGAACTATGTAAGGTTTCTATTTGGGTTTGTGATCCAATTGAAATGAGGTTTCAGTTATGCATGTCGATTTTAGGGTTTAATCCGGGGTTTTCACTATAGGGTTTCGGTTCTAGGGTTTGAAATTGAGGATAACAATTAGGGGATTTCGGGGTTTAATTAAGAATTTCAATTTTGAATTGGGGTGTAATTAAGCAATATTAATAATGGTTAATTGATTTGATCTTATTGTCTTGTGGTTTTTCATTTTTGGAAAGATTGTTTCTAACGCTTGGGATTAATCTATTGGAGCTTGTGTTGGTGGATTTGTAGAGGTATAAAATTATGAAATTTGTGGTCATTTAAGTTTTATTTTGATTTAAGTTATGTTAAGAAATTTAGAGCTTGTGTTGATTGATTTGAGTTATGTTTAGGTTTAAAATTTGTTTTGAGTTGAATGTTCAGTTTTGAATGTTAATGTTATGTTTTCAATTAAATGTTTCCTTTTTTTTTGGATTGAATTGAATTAAAACCCCTATGAACAAATCTGCTTAGGGTTTGAATTTGAATATGTTTGGGAATTGAATTGAAAACCCTTTGAACAATATGCTGGAGTTGAATTTAAGTTGAAGTTGAAATTTAATAATGTGTTTCAAGTTGAATTTTAATTATTAGGGATGTTTTTGAGTTGACATTAATAATATGTTTGTCCTATTTTTGAATTAGGGTTGTTTGGGCAATTTAGTTGTTATTTGAGTCAAACAAAGTCAGGTTTAGGGTTTCTTTCTCCTAGTGAGAGCTTCCATACCCCTGGTGGTATTTCATCGTCCTCACACATCCATCTTTGCCTATACGTTTTCACAACCCAAGTTCACATCCCAATTTTCCTTTTCTTCAATTCGTAATTCCTTGTTTTAATCTTAAGATCTCACAATCCAGTTGTTCTAATTTCCCCAGTTTCACCTTCCCCATCCAAACCCTCTTGCCTTTTTTATTATTATTTATTTAAAAATTTTATTTTTAATTTCTACATCCCTAAATCTCATTTCCCTCTCCTCTCTCACAATCTCCACCCTTTGTTTTCCCATAAACTATCCTTGTTTTTTACTTCGTTACCACCTTCCAAAAGCCCCAATTTTTATTTATTCATTTTATTTTTCTTCCCACTAGCATCCATTCCCCTTTTCCCAACCACCTATCCACCTTCTGTCCCTGTAGCTTCACACTACCCCCATCCTCCCTGCTTCTTCCATGCACCCCACCCCACCCCCTTTTATAGAACCTCTCATGTTCAAATTTCTTTCCTTCACTCTCTATCGCGTGCTTGCCTGCTACAAACCCATTATGGCTTCTTGTGTTAAACTTGACAGTGCTCTTCCAACACCTCCCCTGTTTAATTGGTTAAGTGCCCAACCAATGGCTAGCTGTCTTGATTTGTTCATTGCCTGAAAGGTTTGTTCCTTTGAATACCTTCTATGTGGGGGTTGTACATATTTAATTTTCAAGTGTTATTTCTATATTGAATGCCTTAATTTTATAGTTAATGTGGTGAAGGTTACATGTTTTTCGGTGCCTATAAAATGTCACTCCTCCTTCACATTTGAACAACCACAATACACCATCGGAATATCACATACCACAATCACCACCACAAACTAATTTTCTCATTTTTCTACTTTATATATATACAAGCCTCTCTGCACGCGCTTCCACGCCTGCGAGAGGCTTTTTTTAAAAAAAAATTAAATTTATTTTAGAATTAAAAAAGATAATGGGTAGTTGTGTTCCATAAAAATAGGATTCATTATCTGATTTTTCTTTTAATATTAATTTTTTTTAATATGAAAAGTGTGAATTTACCATATTATTCTCATTTAATTAATAATTTTAATTCTTAATGTTTGAATTAACCAATGACATTTTTGGTATTTTGAATGTTTCACCATTATTTGTCTTTTGCTTTATATATATAGATTCACTACTTTATATTATTATTTTGGCAATGGTTATGTGGCTTGGATACCTATATCTGTCTATGAACGTGCTCATAGTGGATTTTGAGTTTATGTAAAAAGGGTCGTATCTTGGAGTCTTATAGGCCGTTAATACCTGAACGTATGGAGGCTACAAAGGCTTTAGGATATCGTCTTTGACGTGCTTCACCGTACCAAACTCACCTTTTTACTTATAATTTATTTTGCTTTTACTTACCTATTAATTTGTTTTTCTTCAATTTCATTGTACCTTAAAAGTTTTCCAATTTGTTTATATGTTATTTATAATGTAAATGTTTTGTATTTGGCTTTACGGAAAGAGAAAAAAATATAATTTTTATAACATGTTGTTGAGGCCCAAAAAATCCATGGATTGGGCCCGAGCAATTATCAGCCCAATACAGTATTCCATAAGGGAAAAGAAAAAAGGGATCTATCGCATGCGAGTTATAATCCACATGCCACGCTAAATAAACAAATTATCATGCTATGATTCGCGATAAAATATAATTAACTCATGCTAAAAATTAAAACAATCCTTCCCAAGGGCGATAAGGTAAAATATGCCGAGCAACATGCCATGCCGTTATCTCGCACCCCAACCACGCTACAAGCCTAGGTGGGCCCAAGCCACTCAAAAAAGACCCGGGGCTTGCTTGAGTGGGTTGTGGCATGGATGGTGATGAATCAACATGAGGCCCATTGATGGACCAAGAAATGGAAAGTCTCGGGTTGCTTGGGAGCCTCGAGACTCAAGCCCATTTCTTAGGCCCAAACATGTGGGTAAGCACAAGAGAGAAAAATAGCCCAAAAGCCCAAGCAAAACAAACCTAGCCAAGAGATAACCCAACCGAAAAATAATAAGTCCAAATCAAGAAGCCCAACAAGCCCATTTGCTTAAAAGGCCATCTTGGCCCTTAGGAAAACCCAAAAAGCCCACAAGAGCTTCAGCTCTTTTGAAAAGCAGAGAGCACGTGAAGGAATAGATGGCAGGCTCCTTAAGCAAAGCTGCTGGAAACCAGTCCCAAGCCAGAGACATCCAAAGAACCGATGAATACCATCCTGCATGCTGTCAGAAGCATCCCTTGGACCAGCATACATTTGCACCTCCTTTCCTTCATCAGATTCAGCCAAGGAAGAGGAAAGAAAAGAAGAAAAAACAGCAAACCAAGAGTGGAAGCCCTCATTGCACAGCCGCGGGAAAGGAGGATGTTGAGCCCCCAAATCCCCTAAATTCATGAAGATAGACAGAAGCAATCTTTGCCAAGAAAGGGAAGTCAGAGAAGAGAAGGAGAAAGGAAGAAAAGCTCAGCCAAAGTAAGAAGAAGCCATTAGGGTTTCTTGAAAAATGGTGATTTCCGGCAGCTATAAATTAAGCCTTCCCCTACCCAACAAACACAACTCACAACCTGCAGAGAGCAAGCTTTTCTCTCTATCTTGCAAAACTTAGATTCGTGCACTGTTCATCTTCTTCTCCAATTTGTTCTTCTGGCAGCTGCTGGAAGAACCCTGCCTCTCTTTTTCTCTTTCTCTAGCCAAAATTCCTCACAAAACACCTCATTCCTTACTTAAACACTTTCATTCCTCATAAACCAAGCCTAATTTCTCTCTTAGTGCTAAACCCATGTTGGTTTTGCTCCCCATGCCTCATGCCACTCATGCTGAGCTTGAAAACCATCTGTAAGCATGCCAAAATTATCTGCAAGTCACTATTATTCTCATTGGTGAAGATTATCTAAAATATCTCCTAAGGTTTCGCTGCCCTTTCGAGGTATTTTAGGGCTTAATTTTCGAACCTAGACAAAAAGGGGCAATCTCCTCAGTCCACCTTTTGCAGCAGCCCAGCCCGTTAGCTGCAGGAAGAAAAAGTCCCCTACATAAATTGGCGACTCTGCTGGGGATTAAGCCATTATCTTCATCAATGCCTCCAAGAAAGAAGACCAGAAGCAACAACATAACTTCCCAGGATGGGCCAAGCCATGCTGACTCAGAGTCAAGGCAACATGCCTCTTCTAGAGAAGAAGAACGTGCAAGTGAGGGAACTTTTACCCTCACAGATCTTGTTGCAGCCATTCGTGCTATGGGTGACACCCAGAGGGAGATGGCAGAGATGATAAAAGAACTCAAAAATTCGGCTCCAAAGCCAAGTGAAGTGAATGAGAAGCACCCACAGGAGGAATCTGCTGCCGGAAAGGAGTCTGAGAAGAAGGGACCATCTTTTGTCACTCAGGAGGACGTTGTTGCCATGCTGGAAAAGGAGCTGAGTCGAAGTCAGGAAGATTGGAAGTATCTTCCTCAGCCGCCGTATCCATCAAGCTTACTCCAGCAGCCATATCCTAAAGGCTATGAAGCACCGACCTTTGTCCTCTTTGATGGACGAAAGGGGAGCCCGAAGGAGCATGTCAATCGCTTCATCGATGCCTTGGGACCGTATGCTGGTGATCATAATCTTCGACTTAGAGAATTTTCAAAGAGTCTCACCGATCGTGCTTACACATGGTATACAACGTTGGCACCAGGCTCTATTCATTCCTGGGAAAGTCTGGCAAGCAGGTTCTGTAAGAAGTATTTCCAGCATGAAGAACGAGTCACCACCACTCAACTCAACAACACCCGCCAAAAGCATGGTGAGGATCCCGTGGACTTTGTACGCAGGTTCCGGGACCTGGCATTGGATTGCTATGATGAGAAGGACGAGGAGGCGCTTGTTGAAATTTGCATCAGCAATATCGTGGCAGATTATAGAGTGTATTTGGAGAATATTGGCATTAGTCAATTTTCTCGGCTGCTGGAAGCTGTGAGGAAGACGAGCATGTCCGTCAGGCCACCAGGACAAAGGACTTGGAGAAATGAGAAGAAGGAAGCACACCAGACATTAGCAAGAGATGACAAGCCATCCAATGACTACAATTCACGCAAACGCAAGGATAGAGAGACGTATCCACCACTACCATGCAAAGATGAAGAATTTTATGCTATCCTTGACACAATGATTGCTGATGGCGTAATCAAACCTGTCAGACCCTACAAGGTTCCTACTCGAGAGGAAAAGAATGATCCTAGGTACTGCCGTTATCATCAATTTGTGGGGCATCCAACCACTGCCTGTCAGAGCCTGAGGAGGATTTTACACGCCAAAATACATGAGGGAGTCCTTGAACTTCCCTCTAGGAAGCAAACCATTGATGAAGACCCCTTGCCAAAACGAAGGGGAAAGGAGGTAGCCGCTGTCATTACATGTTCTGATGATTTGCTTGATGATGATGAATTGTGCCACCCTTGGAGGAATGACCCAAAGCCGCCGGAAGCCGTATGGGAACCTTGCGGAAACATGGAAAAGGCATATTGGTGTAAATATTCGAGGCCTTCAAGTTACAACACACCATGGCCACTCGCTGATGGATGGGGTGACAACTCAGGCAGCGAAATTTTTGTTTGGACATGCCGGAAGAACACTACTCGGGGGCTTTATCGGAACAGCGGGAAGCAGCTGCCGTGACATTTCATAATATCACGGAAGCTGAAACAAGTGTGATGGAACGTTATTTAAGCATGAAACAGGGGCCCACAGCCTCATAAGTCCTTCAAAGAAACCCAAAGTTCAAATCACTCTTTGACCAACTTGGCTTCGGGCCTCAAGCAAGAGAAGCAGCTGCCGTAGCCCTGATGAATATCTCTGAGGAGTCTAATTCTCAATGCTTTACAACTCAACCACAGGGGTCATTCTTGGGAAATGACAATGCTATTGTCTTTACGGACGAAGACATGGAAGTTCCATACCCGGACCATAGGAGGCCGCTTTACTTGGAGGGACAGATCAATGATGTGTTCATAAGGAGAGCTTTGGTGGACACGGGTTCCTCTGTCAACATATTACCTCTGTCTGTGCTTACGGCAGCTGGTATCCCATTGTCCAAAATTGTCCAATCACAAACAAACATCAGTGGTTTCGGGAATAAGAGTGAGGTCACAGTCGGGCATCTACAAGTACATTTGAAGGTTGGGCCAATTCGGTCACTTACTAAGTTCTATGTTGTGGATGTGGATGTGGCTTACCATGCTTTGCTTGGAAGGCCATGGCTCAACAAGCATAAGCTTGTGGTCTCTACCTATCATCAATGCGTAAAAGGAAGGATTGGGCTGAGGCCGCTACGCATACCTGGAAACCAAGCACCTTTCAACAAAGATGAAGCTCACTACTCTGAAGCAGAATTCTACACTGAATGCACAGGTGCTGGAAGCAATCCATCCAAGGATTTCGGGACCTACCTTCCTTCGTGGACTGAAATTCGTGATTTAAGCAATGAGGAGCTCATCACCATTGTTGATCGAGAGAGAAAGAGGCACTCGGAAGTCAACAACCATGCCTATGATCATCCCCAATGCTCAAAGGTGACGCTGCCCGATGGACGTATCGTGTACCGCTTATGACGGGGTTGGGGGGCTTGACCGTGTCTTACGGGAAAGCCCCGAGTATGGAGGAAAAGTAATGCAAACGAATAGCTGTGGAAGTTCCACCAACAAGGCACCCATGCCTTGTGCTTTCCAAGAACCAATGGCAGCACCCAGACACATGCAAGATGGATCGGCAGCAGTAGCTGAGCAGCTGGAAACAATGATTTGAGTGAGGATCCCTCTGCCCCAAGGCCCATTTCCATAAGTGTTCATTTAACAAGTGAGGAGAGGGCGGCCTTGGTATCTTTGCTAAAGGAATTTCGAGATGTGTTCGCTTGGAGCTATGAGGAAATGCCTGGCTTGAACCCAAGCTTAGTAAGTCATACTCTAAATATTGAGCTTGGTACAAAACCTATCGTGCAGCCAAGAAGGAATTTTCATCCTGAAGTTGAGAAGCAAATCAAGGTGGAAATTGAAAAGTTGTTAGCTGCCGGATTTATTAAGCCAATCAAGCATCCTACGTGGCTAGCGAATATTGTCCCTGTGAAAAAGAAAACCGGTGTGATCAGAATATGCACGGATTATCGAGACCTCAACCGAGCTTGCCCAAAGGACGAGTTCCCGCTGCCTAACATGGATATCTTAATTGATTCGACCTCGGGTCAAGGCTTGTTGTCATTCATGGATGGGTTTAGTGGCTACAATCAGATCAAGATGTCTCCCAAGGATGCTGAAAAGACAGCCTTTCGAACACCGTATGGGAATTTTTATTATACGGTCATGCCATTCGGCCTCAAAAATGCTGGCGCCACCTACCAAAGAGCTATGACAGCGGTGTTTCACGACATGATGGGAAAAGAAGTCGAAGATTATGTGGATGACCTTGTGGTGAAGTCCAAAACCAGAGAAGGCCATCAAGAAGTTTTAAGAAGAGTGCTGGAAAGGTGTCGGCTGTACAGTTTGAAGATGAATCCAAAGAAGTGTGCGTTCGGGGTTTCATCTGGTAAATTCTTGGGGTTTCAAGTACACCAGCGTGGCATAAACGTGGATCCTGAAAAGACTAAAGCCATAAATTCTCTTGCACCGCCTAAAAGCCCAAAAGAATTGAAAAGCTTTATGGGAAGATTATCGTATATTCGGCGCTTTATCCCAGGTCTTGCTGCCACCATGAGTGCTTTTACTCCATTGCTCAAGAAAGGCAAGAGGTATGAATGGAGTGAGAAGTGCCAAGAAGCTTACAAGAGGGTGCAACAAATAATCACCAAGCTGCCCACTATGAAAGCACCTATTCCGGGGCTCCCTCTCAAGCTTTATTTGGCTGCAACAAACACAGCGGTTGGTGCCTTACTTGCTCAAGATGATCACAGTGGGGAAGAAAGTCCTATTTATTACGTAAGTAGGCAACTAAGGGGATCTGAAGTAAGATATCCGAAAACTGAACTTCTGTGCCTTGCTCTTGTCTATGCTGCACAGCGCTTGCGGCATTACTTCCTTGCTCACAAGCTACATCTCATGGTGAAGTCTGATCCCGTAAGATATTTGCTTACAAGGCCGGTATTATCCGGACGCCTTGCACGTTGGTTGCTACAATTGTCCGAGTTTGATATCACCTGCACCACCCCAAAAGCTATCAAAGGGCAGGCCGTGATTGACATGTTGGCTCTATTTCCCGAAGTTGAAGAATCAACAATCTCTAAGGAAGTTCTGGGGGAGCTGCCGGAAATGGTTGCTGTTGTCACAGAGGCAGAACCATGGACCCTCTACTTCGATGGGTCTTCTACATCGAAGAGTGGAGGGGCAGGTGTGGTGCTTGTCAATCCCGAGGGGCAAACCACGGCCCTCTCGTTTAAGCTAAATTTCCCATGCACGAATAATACGGCAGAGTACGAAGCTTTTATTGCAGGAATGTCTACAGCAAGGGAAATGGGTGTCGAAAGAATTAAAATTATTGGGGATTCAAACCTGGTGTTGAGTCAATTACAAGGAAATTTCGCCGTGAAGGAACCAGCATTGGCACCATATCGTACAGCTGCTGAAAGGCTTGTTCGTTCGTTCAAACAAGTTGTGTTGGAACATATCCCGGGAGTCACTAATAGATATGCTGATGCGTTGGCCACCTTGGGGTCGAGGCTCTCATTTATTGAAGAACAGCCCAATATTGCAGTAATCAAGAAGGACACGCCAATTGTTGAAGCAATGGCTCAAGAGGAGCAGCTGGAAGAGGATGACTGGAGGAAGCTTGTGAAAGAAAAAATGGGCAAAGGAAGCAACATCAAAGAATTAAAGGATTATGTGATCCTCTTTGGGGAACTGTACAGACGCCTTCCGGGAGGTATTTTGACCCGCTGCATAGGGATAACAGAAGCACAGGAGAAGCTTCATGAGGTACATGAGGTCACTTGCAATTTGGAGCCAATAATCAGCTTGTACCGGCGCCTGCAGCGCAAGGGTTATTACTGGCCAGAAATGAGGAAACAAGCAGCTGAAATACAAGCCAATTGTCCCAAGTGTGCAAAGATACCTTCCACCGAGGAATCATTCACCGTCTCGTTTGCGGAGGATTGGAGGGCTCCATACTTGGCATTCTTCATCAATGGAGTCTTGCCAACCAATCCCAAGCATGCACGCAAGCTCAAAAGGACAATGAAAAGATACTTCATAGATGGGTCAACTCTTTACCGTAAGGGGTTTAGTGGTGAACCATTAAAATGCTTGGGAAAGTCAGAGGCACAGCAAGTCATGCAAGAGATTCATGCTGGAGAATGTGGTGAACACCAAGAAATGAAGAAGCTTTACCGGCAGCTGCTGAGTGTTGGGTATTATTGGCCTACAATGAAGAATGATGCATACGACTTTGTGAAGAGGTGTCACACATGTCAAGTTCATGCCAATTTAAGTCATAAGCCTCCCACGTTGCTGTAAGACATGCGCACTCCTTGGCCCTTCCATACTTGGGGGCTTGATTTGATCGGGACTATCCATCCACCATCCGACAGCTACATATGGATCCTCACGGCCACCGAATATTTCACAAAGTGGGTAGAAGTGGTTCCCTTGCGGAAAGCCACGGGAGCTGCCGTTGCCAATTTCATCCGTGAAAATATTGTATGTAGATTTGGGATCCCATACAAGATTGTCACCGACAATGGCACCCCGTTTGTCAATAAGCAAGTAAGCTCGACACTTAGTGGTTATGGTATCAAGCATCGTCGCTCCACGCCTTATTATCCACAAGGAAATGGTCAAGCGGAAGCCACAAACAAGACTTTATTGAGGATCCTAAGCAAAATGGTTTATGAGTATGAAGGAGGTTGAAGTGTTCACCTGCCGGATGCTTTATGGGCTTACCGCACCTCTTCAAGAAGTGCCACAGGTTTCTCGCCATATTCACTTGTGTACGGGTCCGATGCCATTTCACCAGTAGAGATCACCATCCCCACTGCCAGAACAGCAGCTGTTAACGACCTCGAATGGGATACAAAGTCATGCTCGGAATGGCGCCTGTTGGACCTTGAAGCGTTGGATGAAAAAAGAGCAGTAGCCGAAAAGAGGACAGCGTTGTACCACAGAACTGTAGCTCAAGCTTATAACAGGACAGTCAAGCCTCGCACCTTCAAGCAAGGAGACCTCGTGCTAAAAGTTGCGGAGCATGTGAGAAGACAGGTGTCGAGACCTTCCAAGTTTGCACCACAATGGGAAGGCCCGTTTGCAGTCAAAGAAGTTCACAGCAGCGGCTATTATCGCTTGGTCTCTGTCAAGGAAGGCACGCTGACCGACCCCGTCAATGGGAAGTGGCTCAAGCTCTATTACTGCTAAGTTAACTTTATGCCTAGTACTTTTGTATTCTCTCTCTGTCAAAAAAAAATAAACTCCTTCTGTCTTATTTTCACGTTTTGAAAAAAAGACACTTTTGTATGATGCACCATTATGGTAGCAAGGGCTTTTGCAATGAAGATGAAGGAATATTTTGAAAAATATATATTGTGTCTCCAAAACTTTACTATTATTAACCCTTTATCAAATTTTCCATATCTATATATATATATATATATATAAACATGCTACTTAGCAGTAAAACATGCCGGGCAAAGTCATTTAGATGGGGTCCCCATCAGCATCACGCAAAAAAAAAAAAAAAAAAAAAAAAAAAAAATAAAAAGGCATAGAAGAAACATGCAATTCTGAGATGCTGGAACAATATGATAACACCTGGAAGCTTTATAGAGCCCGAGTAGAAATCATGCACATATTGGTTCGACCCTTTGGGAAAGGTGGGAAGCTATTTTGTCAAGCTTAGAATCTAGATAAGCCATGCAAAAGAAGCTTTCGAAGACTCGGTTTCTAAAAAAAAATTTTGACAGCATATACCCTGTTTTCAATGATATCCAACCTGTCAAAAATGTCAAGCAGTCCATAAAGACAATTCTGGCCAACAAAGCAGTACATATACATATCTACACAGGAAATATGCAACATGCCTCAAGCATTCGGAAATTCATACAAGCTTCGGTAGTTTAATATCAAAATTACAAAGGCATAACGACGTTAGTCGTTAAGAAAAAAAAAAAAAAAAAAAAAAAAAACAACAAACAAAACAAAATAAAACTGCATATGCTGAAGGTTCACACGCCCTTGAGTCACAAAGAAAAGCAGGATCATGTGCCAAGCTAAATGGTCTCCAAGCTAAGGATGGGCAATCTGCAAAAGTTAAAAGAAAATGTGTGTAAAAAAAATGGATGCTGCTGGAATACGTAATAGAAAAAAAATACATAATGGATGAGTTGAGTACCTGTAGGCTATGGGGAATGTCCGAAAAGAACAAAGGAAGCCCCAGGAGATAATCTGGCCGCTGCCTCCGTCACGCACTCAGCGCTGTCCACAGAAATACCCTTAGCAAGAAGAAGGGCATGCATCTCCCGGCGCTGGTTCTCCAACTCCTGTTGTTTAATATTCAAGGCATCTGCAGCAGCTTTTACTTCATCAGAATCATGCGATAATTGCATACTATGAATAGCCCGTGCTCCAAAGACGGCACGTGCTAAGCTCTTCACGAGTTTAAGAAGAAATTCCACGGGAAAGCCCAGAATCATGGCCTCACATATTGCATCTTGCCAACAGAGCAATTTGTGATCCGTAATATCAAGGAGTTGCATGGTGTCCATCCCATGAAGTACTAAGCCAAGCGCTCGAAGGGCAGTACACCTTGAGAAAGAAGAGGTGACATATGTAGCTTCCATCAAACTTCCGTATTTGTCCATGAACCTTTTCAAGGCTCCAACCGTCTCTGGATACACGAGGGCACCTTGGAATGTCGCATAACCATCGAATCTGTGGCAAAGCGGAAGAAGTTCATCAATGGATCTAAGAATGGTGACACCACCATCAAAAAAGGCCTTGAATGCCGTGTAGGAGTTCTCCCAATCTTGCCAAGACATGCCTTTCTCGAATGATTGCCCTTTTGAGGAACCTGCGATAAAAGCATCACCATTCTTGTGATTATTGTCAATAATCTCAGCAAAGGGATGTGCTGCTGGAAGAAGTGGAGCGGTGCCGGAAGTTATGTCAGGTGTGCTCGAGATCGGAAGAGTAAGGGGATGTACTGCTGGAAGAAGTGAGCGGTGCCGGAAGCTATGTCAGGTGCGTTCGGAATTGGAGAAATAGGAGGAAGAACTATTGGAAGTGGCGGAGAGGCGTCAGCAGCCATGTCAGGAGTACATGGGTTAGGAGAAGGCGGAGGTTGCACTGCCGGAAGGCTCAGCACAGCTTCAGCGATAGTAGCGGGAAAGGCAAAATCAGCCTCCGATGAAGCACCTATCGTGCCTTCAATGGTGGGCACGACCTGCAGAAGAAAGGCAGAGTATGAACTAGAAGACACAACAAGCAGCATGCAATGTCAATATTCCAAGCAAAACAAGCAAGAGGGATATTTGATACCAGTTCAATATCGACGCGCTGTCCATGATCGCTAGTCAAAGCAGGAGTCGTATCTGAGTCATCGAGCTCCCCCAAGCTAGTGCCAAAGGCCGGATAGGTGTCTTCGTCGTGACCGTCGTATTGGCCTTCATCAAGGTCCTCATCCATGCCACTCGTATCGCGAGCGCTCTCTTGCTCATGAATGTTGGTCTCAATTCCCGCAGCGCCACTGTCATCACTATCATCATCACTATTATCATCAACCTTCACCACTACTTTGGGTCCCGAGTCTTCACCTTTATTCTTTCGGGTATTAGCAAACCGCGTTTCAAGAATACGCATGCTTCGACGTTTCGGGGTCACGGAAAACCCCTTACCCTTGCCTTTACTTTGGGAAGTACCTGCAAAATAAGATAAAGGGGATACTTATATGTATGCAAAGAGCGGGGAACAAAGGGAGCAAACAAATAGCAATACTTACTGTGAGGAGATGAAGCTTTTGGAGCTGTTCGCTCGCTGCTGCCGGAAGCTACAGGCTGCTGCTGTAAAGGCCCCGACAAGGCAACTTTTCTTGAGCTAGGAGGACCACTTGCTGCTACCTTGGGGATGAACCTTTTCGGCCCTTTTACAGCTTGCCTTTTCTCGGCACTGCAGCTTTCCTCGCGCTTCCGTTTCCCATGTACAGCACTTTTCCCGGAGCTGTGAGAACCCGACTTTTCCAACTTCCGCTTTAGCTTCGAAAAGTCACCAACAATTTCTCCGCTTTTGGAGATAAAGGGCAGATTTCGCTTCTCGCTCAGGGAAACGGCTTTCTCTTTCGACACTAAACGGGCATGATGAATGATGGTGGGAATCAATCTATCACAATGGGCAGCATGGAATCGGCTGAACGAGGCAAAGCAGCGGTTCCAATAATTTTGGTAGGCCTTTGAGAGACCACCAACGCGCTGCCGGCTGGCCAGAGCAAGGGCAAGAGGCCTGCCGTCTCCTGGCACACTGTCACCAGTCCAGAAAACCCTGTGCAAGCTCAAGGAACCTCCATGGTTGGGACAAGAGGGCACACCTTGGTCAAACCCAAGCTGTCGTCTAACCCGTAAGGGGAATAATGCACAGAAATCTCCAAGTGGTCATCACCGAATGTGGGCAGAGGGAGGCATGCGGCACTCAACAATGCCTCTCTGCGTAACCGACAACCTTGTGTTGGCATGGCCAGGGCCTCCATTAAAGCAGCAGAATCAGCATAGAGGGGCATACTTCTAAAGCCCTCTGATGAGGCACAATAGGGACGGAAAATAAATTGCTCAACATCGTCCAGCAGCTCTAAAAAGTTTTGGCCCTTCCGTTGCATGCGACGGAACCATCTACAGATCAGAGGAAGACTACCCGGCATGTAGGAATTCTCGTCCGAAGCAACCAGTGACTCAGCCTTTGAATAAGGGAGTGGAGATACCTCTATCCCTTTGAAGCGTTCCCATAAAAAGATCTGCAGAAAACTGGAGTTTACAAAAGTCTCCACAGCCATGGTTCCGGCCGCCCCCTTCTCAAGAAATTGAATCTGGTCAAGCAAACGATATAAGTGCCCCAAGAACATGGGGGCTAAAGGGATCATGCTACCCCGTGCTATTGCCAAAGCCAACGGAAACACTCTCCCATGCAAGCAGTCTTGAGAAAAATCACAAAAGAGAAACCTCCCGAGCCACAAGGACACGAATGCAGCAAGGCGACACGGCTCATCTCGGTCACTGTTCCCAAAGAACTGAATCCAATTGCTGAATCTTAGAGAGGTACTAGGAGAGGTCGGAGCACCCTTACGCAAAGTCTCAAGCTTTAGCCCATCTTCCGGGGTTAATGCAATGTGGAAAGGATCTTGGCTGCCGCAAAGTGGGAGATGGAAAATATTAGCTACATCCTCAAGCGTGGGAGTGAACTCTCCCCACGAACAAATAAAGGTGTGTGTCTCGGTGCTCCACCGTCTAACCAAGTGTCGAAGCGTCTTGACTTCAATATGGATGTCGCAAGCCTTAGAAGCAAAGATGGCTTCCAGCACACCTGCCCGGCTTAGGATATCACGGGTAGACGGGTTCTTCAGTTCATCATCAACCCACTCCGACCAACCCTTGCTGGTGCTGCAGGGATATTGAAAGAACAAAGGAACTGCCGGAAACAGACCCCTTTCTATGCAGCACCTTGATACAGATGCGGGGTCGATCACTGGAGTAGCTTCTGGCACTGGTTCTTCATCAATAATTACATCCTCGTCGGCGCCCTTAAGCAAGGGAGGTGGTCTCCCTCTCTTCAACCTATCATCTACGGAATAAAGATGATCCCTTATGATAAATGGTGGATTACCGGATGCCATTATAGGTACCTGCATACATAAAAAAAAATAGGAAGAAGCAAGATGGAATTAGCACACATGCGATATGTATCAAGCACGACTGGTTGTGGTCGTCCGAATAAACATGCAATTTAAAATTCAAGCTCACGGCAAACAAGAGTTTTGCTCTGTGGCAGGATAAACAAGTCCCTTCTCCAAATGAAAAATGAATATTCAACCAAGCAGTACAAAACATGCACTCTGTCAATTATCATTCTCTACAGGCAACACACGCAGAATTCCATAATTGATCAAGAACATGTGAAATAAATATTAACAAGAAAAGAAAAAGAAAAAAAAGCCTAGGCCAAGCATCAGTCTACACCTATTCTAAAATACCCAGAGTTAGCAGAGTTATTACCAAAGTCTAAGTTAGAAGACTGAAGGGTTTGAAGGTTCCAGCAGCAAAACGTCAAGGGTTTCCAGCACCTATCCTCACCTATGCCCAAGATGTGTATACCTGCATAAAAAACAAACAAAAGGGAAAGCACATCATGCCAAATCAGCCTTTTACACACAAAAAGGGGAGAAACCCAAGCCAACAAGAAAAGAAAATATTACCTTTCCAGCAGCTCGAGCAAAATTAACGAAGGAAGAAACTTAAGACAATGGCGCGGGCCCTTCCTTGCTAGCACCCACTCCGTGAGCACTATTGTTGCAGCGGAAACAAGATAGGTAAAAGGGGGGTTTTGGTATTTGGCTGCCAAAGCAAAAAGCAACATCCGTGGGTATGAGAAACCCAACAAATTCTCCAATCAATTTAAGGGAAAACTGGGTACCTTGTTAAATCTTCCAAAGGATGGCGTCGAATGCACCAAAAAGAGGAGAAAATCAGGGATTTGAAGGCAAAACCCGCACAAAAAGAGGACCTTTCCAGCAGCGACGAACGGGCTCCTTTGGAATGAAGATGGAACGACGGGGTCGGGTTCGACTTGGGTCTTCTTCTCAACGACTGGAGGTAAATAATTTTGGCCTGACTTCACTCTTTCAGTATATTTGAATTCATGGAGAAGCAAAGGAGAACGAAGGGAGGAGAGCTAGAGGGAAGTTTTGGTCTGGAGCGTGGAAAGGAGAAGGAAATCTTGGAAATTGATGTCTGGTGCAAGAAAAGAGAAAGAAAAGGGAGGAAAATAATAAAATAAGGAGAGGAAGGCAGTTGCCGTTGGAAACTGCAAATAACCATCGGGACCAATCATGGCACGCCGTCATTTTGCACGCGGGAAGAAGAAGAGTCCTATGCAAATACAAATCTGATTTTTTTGGGTTGGGTTTTAATTACTCGGCCCATTCCAGCACCTGTTCATGGCCCTTATAATTAAGGGGGCTAATGTTGAGGCCCAAAAAATCCATGGATTGGGCCCGAGCAATTATCAGCCCAATACAGTATTCCATAAGGGAAAAGAAAAAAGGGATCTATCGCATGCGAGTTATAATCCACATGCCACGCTAAATAAACAAATTATCATGCTATGATTCGCGATAAAATATAATTAACTCATGCTAAAAATTAAAACAATCCTTCCCAAGGGCGATAAGGTAAAATATGCCGAGCAACATGCCATGCCGTTATCTCGCACCCAACCACGCTACAAGCCTAGGTGGGCCCAAGCCACTCAAAAAAGACCCGGGGCTTGCTTGAGTGGGTTGTGGCATGGATGGTGATGAATCAACATGAGGCCCATTGATGGACCAAGAAATGGAAAGTCTCGGGTTGCTTGGGAGCCTCGAGACTCAAGCCCATTTCTTAGGCCCAAACATGTGGGTAAGCACAAGAGAGAAAAATAGCCCAAAAGCCCAAGCAAAACAAACCTAGCCAAGAGATAACCCAACCGAAAAATAATAAGTCCAAATCAAGAAGCCCAACAAGCCCATTTGCTTAAAAGGCCATCTTGGCCCTTAGGAAAACCCAAAAAGCCCACAAGAGCTTCAGCTCTTTTGAAAAGCAGAGAGCACGTGAAGGAATAGATGGCAGGCTCCTTAAGCAAAGCTGCTGGAAACCAGTCCCAAGCCAGAGACATCCAAAGAACCGATGAATACCATCCTGCATGCTGTCAGAAGCATCCCTTGGACCAGCATACATTTGCACCTCCTTTCCTTCATCAGATTCAGCCAAGGAAGAGGAAAGAAAAGAAGAAAAAACAGCAAACCAAGAGTGGAAGCCCTCATTGCACAGCCGCGGGAAAGGAGGATGTTGAGCCCCCAAATCCCCTAAATTCATGAAGATAGACAGAAGCAATCTTTGCCAAGAAAGGGAAGTCAGAGAAGAGAAGGAGAAAGGAAGAAAAGCTCAGCCAAAGTAAGAAGAAGCCATTAGGGTTTCTTGAAAAATGGTGATTTCCGGCAGCTATAAATTAAGCCTTCCCCTACCCAACAAACACAACTCACAACCTGCAGAGAGCAAGCTTTTCTCTCTATCTTGCAAAACTTAGATTCGTGCACTGTTCATCTTCTTCTCCAATTTGTTCTTCTGGCAGCTGCTGGAAGAACCCTGCCTCTCTTTTTCTCTTTCTCTAGCCAAAATTCCTCACAAAACACCTCATTCCTTACTTAAACACTTTCATTCCTCATAAACCAAGCCTAATTTCTCTCTTAGTGCTAAACCCATGTTGGTTTTGCTCCCCATGCCTCATGCCACTCATGCTGAGCTTGAAAACCATCTGTAAGCATGCCAAAATTATCTGCAAGTCACTATTATTCTCATTGGTGAAGATTATCTAAATATCTCCTAAGGTTTCGCTGCCCTTTCGAGGTATTTTAGGGCTTAATTTTCGAACCTAGACAAAAAGGGGCAATCTCCTCAGTCCACCTTTTGCAGCAGCCCAGCCCGTTAGCTGCAGGAAGAAAAAGTCCCCTACACATGTATGATTGCATCTCACCAGCTCTTGCCAAGTGGTCTCCCTCTTTTATTGAACTCAACCACTGATTTTATTTTTGAATTTTACTCTTCACAACTTGGGTCATTATGTTTATACCACAATATGAGTTTCCAGAATCTTCAAATGTAGTTGTGCTAGTTGCTTATTTCTCATTAGAGGAATCAATTCTTATGGGACTTGTGTAGCTTCTTTATAGCTGACTTGTCATTCTTATTTTGAGTTTTTGAAACCATGATTATAAAGGAATGAAAGAATATAACATGCACAAAGACAACAAGTTAAAATATTTCAAGCTTTTTAAATAATGAAACATGACGGTTTTTGAAAACTACCATCGCAGTATTCTATTTCACACGACCCTTGTTAAGAACAACAGTCGTAGTATGAATTTTCACACGACGTATGATAGTTACTTACTGTCGTAGTGTTCTATTTCAGATGACGATAATATCATTTGGTTTTGAAAATATAGTTTTGGAAGCAAAAACAATAAAAATTAGAATCACTACTACAAAATAGCTAAATGATGGTACAAAAATGACGACAGCGGAGTTAAAAACCGTCATGGTGTTTAGAAAGATGACGTTTTTACAAACCCGCCGTGAGTTAGCAACTTAAACACTGCTGAAATTGAGGTATGCGGGTTTATTTTTTAAACACAACACTTGACATTTAAGAAGCGTCGTCTTATTAAAACACGCTAAACAAAATGTTGCTGGTTAAGTGGAATCGCCCTCGACCATTTCAGATCTCCCAAGTTTAGGGTTAAGTTCTTAATATTATCATATCTTTTTTTTTGGTCGAATAATATTATCATATCTTAAACAAGTAATTTGGATTTACAGATTAGGGATTTAGATTTGAATGAAAATGAAATAATCATCATAGGGTCAACATAGTACATCCTTCCAGGGTTCTTGACCCTTCAGGAGACCTTAGCAAGGCAAGGTCCTTACTCATTCAATCTCAAAGAGGATTGAACCACAATCTTAGTAATATGCGCATGTTGTGGTGGAGGATCCACTGAGTTGGGAACATATTGCAAGCATATGCTGTTTGTTATGAAGCTGCCAAAAGACAACCATACTTATATAATTACCGTCATATAAAACAAAAATACCTTTAAAGAAAATTGACATATGATGGTAAATTACACGTCGAATAATTCATAAAAGCAGACATTTTAATTCATATACGACGATGGTAAACATACATCACCGTCGTGTGAAGTAGTAATGAACCACGACAGTAATTCCATATTTTCTATTGTGTTAAAGAGTACTAACCACGACTATAATTTTATAATAACCATCATGTGAAATAGTACTCAACCATGGTGGTAATTTTATAATTCCCGTCGGGTGAAGTAGTCTTCAACCACGACCATAAGTGCATATTTACAGTTGTCTGAAAGAGTACTAACCGTGACAATAATTGTATAATTAATGACGTGTGAAATAGTACTCACCCACAAAGGTAATTAGGTATGATCGTCGTGCGAAATAGTACCTAACCACGACTGTAATCACATAATGACCGCTAGGGTTAACTTGTGGTACCTTTTATGTTATATTGTACTAAACCACAATGCTTATTACACATTAACTACTGTGTTAACTCTTATACTATGGTGGTCCCTTTTTTACCACCGTCTTCTTATGAACGTGCTGACTCCTAGAGATTTTGCCTTGACCTAAAATTTTCAGTTTTCACTCTCAACCCTAGAAACTATCTCACTCTCCTATCAGTTTTCTCTCAACTCTTTGAATCTCCTCCTTTTCAGATTTGTCCTCATCTTTAACTTTGAAGCTCTCGTTTTTAACTCAAAAGGGAGCCGTGACCATTTATTTGATGAAACCTTTGCCTATGATGTTACCATTTCTCTCTCTCTCTCTCTCTCTCTCTCTCTCTCTCTCTTTTATTTTATTATTAATCTAAATCTATATTTGTTGATGCTCTTTTTGGGAGGTCAACTTAGAGAGAGGTGGATAGTCTTTAGCAAGGGAGAAGGTGAGGACCTTCAATAAGGGAAGAGCTTGCAGAAGACAAAGTAGGAGAAGCAGTTGTTAAGCTTCGGACACCGGTGTGGTGCCACCCGAAAGCTCTTCGACGCTTAAGTCAGCTATGAGTGGTAAAATTGGCAGAGTAATAGTAAAAGTGAGAGAGTAGTTACCCTTTTTACTTGGGTACTGTTCCCTATTTTATAGGGAAGTGAAAGTGGGTGGTTTGCACAAAGTTTCGATGTGGGACTTTGAGCAAGTCGCTGTGGTGGTGACACGTGTCCTTGGAGATTAGGTTCGGCAGTTGGAGCTTCGGCAGGTGGCTACTGCTTCAGAAGAGTGTTTTCCTTCGGCAGGGGAGAAGGCGTGTTTGCCGTTTTGATGTTGGATATGCTCGGTTGATTATGGTGTAAACAATATTTGTTCTTCTTTTTTCTGCATATATCAGTATTTCTAACTTTAAATAATATATATTCAAATTGTACAAACCAAGAAAGAGGCAAGTAGGACAGTGTTTGAAAAGACGAATAACATGGCGCCATATATAAACTTGCAGAGGTCTATTTCAATTTTTCTAACTCTCTGCATTTGCTTTTATCTTTGTATCTTTGTTCCAAGTAGAATTTTGGTAGTGATAATTATATATATTTTTCATTTTCTTTTATCCTCTAACCTTAATTATATGTTTTCTTCATTTTTTTTTTCTCTCTTTATCTGTGTATTTTTGTTCTAAGTCCATAAGACGATATATATGCATAGGTGTATATATATGTGTTTGTGTGGAAGTCTAGGTGAACCGTACGAAATCAACAAGATAAAAAGTGGCTTACATGGGAGAAAGATGGG